GTGGAGGCGGCGTAGGAGGTTCGGCCGCGAGCTTGCAGAGAGACTAGGAGTGGGAGCTTAGAGGGGGACAAGGGAGAGCTCGGTGAAGACGCCTGAGGGGGACTGTCTGAAGATGGGGACAAGGCAGGCCAGTGGGCTAGTGAGAGAGGGCTGCTCTGTGGGTTAGGTCAGGGCCACTGGGCCGCTTCCAAGGCGTCAGTAGGCCCCCGAGGGGGACAGGACTGAAGAGGAAAAGCAAAATTGGGACTGACAGAGTTGGAAGACTCTTGGGAGGAAGGTGACGGGGCAGGTCCAGTGTGAGACCTGGGGGCGGACCCATCCACGGGAGTAACTGAGGACAGCAGGCAGCTGCTGCAGGCATGGAGTGAAGTTGGCAGGGGGAGTCTGGAATAGGTGCCATGGTGGGGGACACAAGGGAAGAATGCAGGAAAAGACCCTGGGAGAAAGAACCAAGTGAAGCAGGGATGGCCTGGCACAGATTGGGAAGGGTCAATTAGAGAGTGGACACTGGTTGAAGGACCAGAGTGATAAGGGACCAGGAGGAATGGACAGGGGAGCTGGGGGCACTCAGAGGACAGGTAAATTAGGAGGTATTAGACTCAGAAAGATGGTTGAGAGGGGGCCGCCATCAGCTCTCATTGAGGTTGGCATGAGGGAGACTTGGGGATTCAACTGTTGCAGGAGTCAGCGTTGAAGGCCCTGGGCACCAAAGGTCTCTTCCTCTTCTCCTCCTTGGATGCTGACCAGGACATGTACATCAGCCCTGAGGAATTCAAACCCATTGCTGAGAAGCTGACAGGTACCAGGAGAGTTGGGGGGCCCAGGAAAGGGGTAACTTTGTCATCACAGCCAGAGTAGCAGGGGAATTGTGGGCTTTCGTGGCTTTGAGCTCCACTGGCTTCTGCCACTTTCTAGCTGGAATCTTGAACACAGCTTCAGTCACTTCTCCTTGTCTCCCATGAGAAGAGGAATTCTTTACTCACCTCCTCTGTGCGAGACATCATTTGAAGCACTTTGTGTGTGTTGCTGCTTTAATCTTCGCAGTAGCCCTGGGAGGACACCATCATAAAACCCTGGTTATAATTTAGGAGACTGAAGGAGGCACAGGATGTTAACCAGCTTGCCCAAGCTAGAAGAGTGTAGTGCCAGGATTAGAACTGGAACCCCCTAACTCCAGGATCCTGCACCAGCTCATGGCTAACTGAAAGAGCTGTGCAAACCTGCCCAATTAGGTGAGTAAGAGAAAGGCTTGGGATTCTGCTTCTGAAAAAAATTATAGCAAAGAAAACACCATGGAGTTATTTTATTTCATCATGTGGGGCCAGTATGAGTCAAAAGTAACTCAACAACAAGCACTCAGCAACAGCAATTGTTAGAGAGCTCTGCTTAGATGTTGTGGCACTCTGGTTAGGGTGTTTGGCTTCTGAACACTGAGTGGATGGTTCAAACACAGTATTTGTTCCTCAGGAGAAAAATGAGGCTGGCTGCTTTTAGAGGAACATTCCAGCCTTGGAAACCCTGGGGGGAAGTTTTGCTCTGTCCTCCAGAGTCACTGAGTGAGAATTCACTTAATGGCCGTGAGGTTTGGTTTTAGATGCTGTCAGACCCTGTCCCAATCTTGCTGTCCCCTTTTTGTCTGGATGTAACCAGTGATTCATATTTCTTTCTCTCGCTCCAAAGACTAGGGGCTAAAACCTAAAGAATTCTGGAATGCTTTATGCACTGTCCCTCACTACCACCCTAACATCGGTCTCCATTTCCCTGTCACTTTTTGTGACATTTCTTGAACTGATGATTGTTGGCACCTACTGGTACTCAGATTGCGTGGGGCAGGTGAGTCAGTAGACAGGACAGGCAGGAACAAGGGACACCAGCTGCTCGCGGCCACATACAAATCAAAGAAAGCAGTGATGGGCTTTCTGTGTTTCAGGGGATGAACCAGGTCTGTCAGCCATCTGCTCCCCAGGTGACCTGTTGTCACCAACAGAGGAGGAAGGTCAGATTGGCTGCAGCAGATGTATGTCCGTGGCTCTTGGTAGCAGTCAGTTCTGTCATGGAAGCAGACAGGTAAACAGGTCAGCCCCTGCTGGATTTGTTTTCACATTTTAGTGTTATTTTGCATATACTTCCTCCAACATCCACCCAAGCTATTCCCTTGTCCTTTTTAGGGGCTGAGAGCAAGAGCCCCTCATAATGATATATTAGTAGAGCTGGCTGGCCTTGAGGGTACTTTTAATTTTTTTCCCATAAATTTTTTTTCCCCAGCAGGGAGAATAATCCCTCTTTCCATTACCTCAAAGGCCACTGTGAGTGCAAAACAGATTTCCAAAGTGCTAGAAAATCAAAAGGCTAAAGAAAAGGAGGGGGAAAATCCACAAAAATCATAGCCAAGCAGGATATAAAGGCCAATTGGTGGAGCTAAGGAGGTTTTTCATTTTCTCCATTATGCTTTATAGGTTCTACAAATTATTGTCCAAGAACAAATAAATACTCTTGACAGATCAGAAAACAGCATTTTTCTTTTGGGGGAAAAAAAGTAGGTACTTTAAAATGTTAGGCATCATTGTTAATAATTCTCTATGATGACAATAAAATGATTAAATATGCAGGCCAACTCACCACCCTGCTTATTCTTTACCATTCCTGTTTTCTGAGTTTTCTGGTTTGCTATTTCAGAGTTTCGCTGCATTGACTTACAAATGTAGAAATAACAATGATTCTTTAGAACTGAATGGGGATTTGCATCAGGAGCCACTGGGGAGTGCTAATTAAAAGTGCCATGTCCTCATTCAAGGCCCTGGCGGTTCTGATTCATAGGTCTGCCTGGAGTCTAGCTGCCGGTAATTTAAAAGGGCATGCTGGGTGATTCTGGTGATTCCTGGTTAAGAACCGCTTTGAATGCGTTCATTCAGCTAGTCAGTCAGTCCGTCAACAAGTGCCAAGCATTTGAGGGTGTCCTCATTCCCGAATCAGCGTTCTCTCTGCCACCAGAGATAGACCGAATCTGCATCTCACTTTCATTGATCCCCTTGACTGAGTTCCCTTTTGAGCAGTCCTTTGTTTTCTCTCCAGGTCCTCGTGGCAGGGACAGGAATGGTCATATTGTCTATTTTTCACATATGAAAAACAGGCTCAAAGATTTGCTTCAACTGCTATTAGCTGATACCGATTCTAACTCACAGCGCGCCTTTGGGTTTTCAAAGCTGTGACCTTTGAGAAGCACAGCTCCAGTCTCCCCAGGTTCCTCTGGATTAGTCGCACCCACTAACCTTTTGGCTTTCAACTGAGCACATAACTCTTTGGGCCACCCAGGGTACCTTGACTTGTCCCGAAGAACCCAGGGCATGGAGCCAAGCTCCATAAGCAGTATGTTCTCTGCTCCACACCCTGCAGCATCTGCCTGCCTGGATGCTACCTTTGCTGGGTCCACCTGTGCTTCATCATAGACTTGGTTTGGAGAGCAGAGAGAATGGACACAATTGAAATAGTCTTTTTGCAGCCAGCTTGAAGAAGCAAGGCTCAAGTGAGACAAATTAGATTTGAACTCCAGCTCTGTAACTCCCTAACCCTGAAATTTTGGTTACTAGTAAGACAGCTACAGTCTTTAAAGGTCCAGAACTTAAATACCTTAAATAGATTATCTTGTACAATCCTTACAGTAAGTCAGTGGTCAAACAGTGGTGGAAGTGGGATTAGAAGTCTGGTCAGTCTCACTCAGAGCCTCTTGAGGACACTGAGGTATGAGTGCTTACATGCCCTTAGACCTGAGTGTAAATCCCTAGTCCCATACCTTGCTGTGTGACCTTCGAGAAGTCACTTAACTTCTCTGAGCCTTCACTCTCATTTGTGAACCAGAGCTGTTATGAAGCTAAAATGTTACACATGTGGGGTGTTTCTCTCATGTTAATTCTGCCCTTCTCCTATGCTGATGCCCGTCATCACTAGGACACTCTGGGTTCACAGAGAGACGTGAGGCCCTGCAGTCTGAGGGCAGGGCATCTTCAGTGATCTGTGTCTCTTAGGGTCAACTCCTGCGACCAGCTACGGGGAAGAGGAGCTGCCCCCAGACCCTAGTGAGGAAATGCTCACCATAGAAACCCGATTCCAGCCTCTGCTCCAGGAGACCATGACTGGCAGCAAAGACGGGTTCCTGGGGGTAAGTTGGGGATGGAGCCCTCTTGACTTTGCCACAGCAGCTTGGATCAGTGGAATACTGGGGTGCCCTGCCTCCAGGGGTCCGCTTTGGGCTCAGTCTGTCCTTCCCTTCTCTCTTCCTTCCTTCATCAGCTTCCTAACATTCTTAGTGCCAATGGCCATTTGGTCCAAGAAATGGGGAGATGCTATCCCAAATCCTCAGCTACCCAAGATTCTGAGAGGTGGAGCAGGAGGGAAGCATGGGCTACTGACCCTGGTTGGTATGGTGGCTGGACATGAGGTTGAAGGGAGACTCAACTGACTTAAGACTGATGGCCACCCCACTGAGCAAGATTTAGTCTGGTGATGGCAGACTAAAGTGTACACGCAGGAGGGAGCCTATTAGAGCCACAGCCCCACAGATTATAATGATTGCTTTCTGCAAGTCTGTCTTTTCCCCAGGCTATGAACTTCTTGGTGGCAAGGCCCACGTCTCCTCACACGTCTGTGCCGCCCACACCCTTAGCATGAGGCCTGGCGCGTGCTCTGTTGCCCTTAGAGGATTTAGACCTGAGGTTCGGCCCTAGCAGGGAGCTGAGGGCTGAGTGGGCACTCAGGGAGTCTGCTTCTCCGCTTCCCTTTCCCGTGGAAGGTATGTGGATCCCGTCTTTATTAGCCGCTCCCCACACAGCCAGCGCCCTAGAACAAGGTATCACCTATCACAGGACCCGAACATCCTCAGCCTACCTTCCTGTCTTCTAAACCACCACCTTCTTTCCAACTGTGAGCCTCCTATGCACTTCCATCTCTGCTAGAAAGAGCTCTGTCTTTTGATCCGATGCATCTGTTTCTTTTCCCTACTCAGCCAGTCCCTCTCAGGTGAAATACCCCTCACCTCAGCGTGAACACAGATCTGGAGGCACAAAGTGCCACTTGCGCCACCAGGGGGTGGACCCAGGGCGAATGTGGGGGTGCCCCAGCCAGTGGGGCTGGAAGAGAAGTTATGTGGCCACAAAGAGCCTTGGTTCCTAGACTTTGGACTTGGTTCTGCAGAGCGAGAAATGATGGCCAGTTCTGAAGTAGTAGAGTTCCCTCTTTGGATCTGTGCTTCCCAGGGTGGTGTGGGTGATGGGATGCTTGGGAGAGAGACAAGAAAAAGGAGTCTGGAGCCAGGGTAGCCTGGGGAAAGGAAGGGAGCAAAGGAAGAGGCAGCAGGCTTGGGGGTGACAGCAGTGATGGGAGGACATGCACAGAGAGGGGTGATGGGGAAAAAAGAGGGAAATTACTACTGGTAGAAAATACTTGAGAGGATTTGGGGTGAATCCTGGCCATCTGACTGCTTGGGGCAAACAGGTCTGGTGGAAGGAGAATGAGATCAGTTTGGATGTGTAGAAGTTGAGGTACCTGGAGGAAATCCAGGCAGTGGGTCCAGCAAGGTACACAGGCTTGACCTTCCACAGAAAAACCTGGGTAAGGAAGCAGAGTCATGTGGTGATGGGCCCAGAGCATAAAGGTGAGGAAAGAGATGAGCCCTGTACAGAGCACCAAGCAAAGAGAGGGGCAGGGTAGGCACTTGGATGTTTGTGAGGGCAAACCCTAACAAGCAGAGCCCCCAGAGCCTGCCTTGGCAACTCCCTGCATGGGGCAGCCAGCTCTGAACAGGTTCAGCGGGGGGGCAGGCACTACTTGGCACAGCCAGCCCAGCTCTGAGAACCTTTTGGTAAGATCTCTCGCAGTGGGAGCTCCTGCCACTTCTCTCTGCCACCTTCCACTTCCCACTGAGGCTGAGGCTGCCATGGAGAAGGCAAGGAAGCCTGCTGCTGCTGAAGACTGAGGCCGCTCCCCTGAGGAGGCCAGATGCTCACTGTCTGGTGGCTGCTGCAGGGAGCAGCTTCTACAAAAGGAGGGTGGGGCCTTCATAGAAGGACTCGCCTGTTTAATAAGAGTCCTGCCTCTGTCCAGGCAGAGATACAGACAAAGGCAGCTTGCCCCTCACCAGTGTGCAGCATCCAGCCTCTTGATGCATCAGAAAGAGCAGGTGGGCCCTTGATGAGGAAAAGTCCTTTGGGAGCCTCATCATCAGGCCTGCTATGGAGTGACCTGCCCCTTCTTCTGTGGGTTTCCCTTTCTCTTGATTAAAGATTCCATCTCCTTTCATTAGACATGGTTCCAAATCCAGACTCTGGTCTCTTCAGTGGGACTGTCAGCATCTAAGGAGGAGACTTGGATAAAAAGCAGAATGTGAGGTTAGAGGTGGAGGTGCGGGATCCAGGGCAGAGCTCAGCTTTATCTCTGGGTTTATGTGGAGACATGCAGGCCTCAGTGCATGTGCCTGGGAACCCTCTGAGTAAGGTACAAGTGGAAACAGTCAGAGGGCTGGAGCAGGAGAGGTGCTGATGAGCTTAGGCTCTGGCAAGATAGAGCCAAGCATGCTGTTTCAACAGGACAGAGGACAAGGGCTCCCTGGTGTCTTTCCCCCTCCTGGGTTCATGGGAAACCTCAGGATCTGAACAAGACTTCACCTACTCTCAGGCCACACCAATGCCATTTCCATCAAGTCAATGATGACTCAAGGCAGCTCCCAATGTAGAGTTGCACTGCATACTGTTATCAGTGGCTGATTTTTCAGAAGGAGATTTTCAGGCCTTCTGAGGGAGAAGTTGAACAGCTAACTTTCTGGTTAGCAGCTGAGCACATTAACTGCATGACCCAGGAATTCCTACTGAGGAGCCTGGAACCCCGGAAGTCACGGGTGACAGTCAGTGCCCCCTAGCTCCTGCTCTTCCCTGCCCCAGGTCTCTCGCCTGATCCTGTCCAGCCTCCGGAACTGGACCACTGCAGCCTCGCCAAGGGCAGTGTTCGCCGCCCGCCACTTCTGGCCCTTCCTCCCACCTCGGGGCCACGTGGAGCTGGGCAAGCCCTGGTGGATCGTCCCCAACGAGCTGAACTTCTTAAGTGGCTACTTGTCCAACAGCCGCTTCTACCCACCAACACCCAAGGGCAAGGAGGTGAGAACAGTCAGGTAGATCAGGGCCCTTCTTTTCCCACCCAGAGGCCCCCTAACTGACTGCTCTGGACCCCCAAAGTAAGTCTTGCCATCCCTACTGCCTTGCCTCCCCTCCAGACCCACCTCCACAGACCCTCAGCCTCTTTTCTGGGCCCCGCAAGCCAACCTGGTCTCCACTCTTCTCCGCCAGGTGATCATCCACCAACTCCTGAGCATGTTCCACCCGCGGCCCTTCGTGAAGACTCGCTTCCCACCACAGGGCGCCATCGCCTGTCTGACCGCCGTCAGTGACTTCTACTACACCGTGATGTTCAGGTGAGGGACACCCCCTCAGCCCCCACCTGGGCCTGGGAATCCAGGACAGAAGGAGACCCTCAAGAAGGAAACAGTGCTGGTGGGAGCTGACTGCTTTTTCAGCTTCACCAATTAACCACCTCGGTCTTGGGCAAGCATTTCAACTCTCGGAGGCGCAGTTTCCTCATAAGGCACATGAGTGCGAGGTGAGAAGGTTGATGGCCCAGGCCTGGTAGCCATGATTGTGCCACCAGCCCTGAAGGGGAATGAATGCTGCCTGGGACAGCAAGTCACACAGGCCCTGGAGAGGCTGTGGGAGGTCAGAGGAGGGTGGAGGCCCAGCTTCGGAGGAAGCAGCCTGCAGACTGAGACTTAAAGGATGAGTGGCATCGGTGGGCTTCTTACTCTCCTGCCCCTCACAGCCTCCTTCTTCATCTTCCCCACATGATGGTCTGGCTGCCGCCTCCGAGATCCCAGCCTTTGTGGGAAGAACGGGGGTGGGGGGCGGCGGACAGGACTGGAATCTCTGGCCCAGCAGGGGCTTGCTCACAGCTGAGTACCTTTCCCTGCAGGATCCATGCTGAATTCCAGCTCAGTGAACCCCCAGACTTTCCTTTCTGGTTCTGTCCTGGCCAGTTCACCGGCCACATCATCCTCTCCAAAGATGCCACCCACATCCGTGACTTCCGGCTCTTTGTACCCAACAACAGGTAGAAGCCTTGGCCCAGGCCCTGCACCCTGCTCTAATCTGCCATGTCCCCCAGTTCCAAGTTCTCAAATGCCAGTGGTCCCAGAGCTCACCATGGTCTGCCGCCCTTCCTCTGCTCCCCATAGGCAGGGGTTCGGGACCTCCAAGTAGAGGGACCTCCACTGCTGCTCCAGAGCCGGAGACAACTGCCGGAAGTGATCACCTCTTCTCCAGATGCTGTGTGGGCTAGCCCTGCTCTCTGCCGGGGGACCCAGAGCAGCTGTAAACATTCTCTCCCTGAAGCGGGTGTCCCCCCACCTTTACACCACCGACAGCCACAGCCTGCTCATGCACCCTAGCTGGTCAGGCTCCAGGAGGGTGTCCCACAGAAAGTCATCAGAGACCTGAGAGAGGAGACGGGCTAGCTTTGCCCAGGGATGGTTCACAAAAAGGCTGAGGATAGACATCCCACGGCCTGAGGAGCCAGAGGGGATGATTCCTGGCTTTTCTCACCCACCAGACAGCCAGGAAGGGAAAGCTGTCCCCAGAGAGCATCCTGGGCTGGTGGGAAAGGAGGAAGTCCATGTTCTGATCCCCCTCCCCCTCTGCTCCATGTGGCCCAGCCCAGGGCTGGGAAGAGGCTGGAGGCTGCCTGCCAGGCACATCTGCCTCTGCTGAAGGGCTAGGAGAGTGTCTTGGATGGGATGAGATGAAGGAGAGTGTGTCAAATGAGCGGCCCAGGACCCGCTGCCCTGGGCTCCTGTATTAGGGCCAGGTGGATCCTCTGAGGCCTCACTCCATGTTGCCCACACTGGAGTTGATTGGTTGTCAGTCCTTGGGCTCCCCCATGTGGCAGATCTTCAGATTGCATGTGAGCAGACACTATCCAGGTTTTCAACTCCTGTTGTCCTGGTTAGTCAAGTAGTCATGGTCTGTCTGCCTCTCTGAAAGTGATGTGAAAGCCCTTTGTAAACTGTAAAAGTGGAGGATGATGCTTGGGTGCCCTGAAGAGAGGGAGGAGCCCAGGCTCTGCAGCCAGTACCTTACTGTACTGAGCCTCTGTAAAAGGAGAGCTTTGATGACATTGTGCCCTTGTGCCCCATCTATGCCCTAGGTCTCTGAATGTGGACATGGAGTGGCTGTATGGGACCAATGAGAACAACTTTATGGAAGTGGATATTGGCTACATACCTCAGGTGATCACACAGAGGGTCCCTACAAAATAGAGCCCCTGCCTCAGCCTGTAGCTTAGGAAGTGAGGATGCAGCTGTCTAGGTGCTCAGGACAGCCCTGGGTTTCTGGAAGGCACCTGTCCACACACACACAATGCTGCAGAAATGATAGGGCCTCAGGAAGCATCTGACAATACAGGACTCTTGGCTACACATTCTGGCTTTGTCTCAACTGACCACATTGCCTTGACCAAAGGTCTGCCCTGCCCTGGGGCCTCAGTCTCCCTAACTCTGTGTGAGAATCTCCCAGAGCCCCATAAGTCATCTCATCCATTGACCTCTGGCCCAGATGGAGCTCAAGGCAACAGGCCCTTCCATGCCCTCTGTGATCCTGGACGAGAACGGCAACTTGATTGACAGCCCCCTGCCACCGGAGGAGCCCCTCCAGTTTGTGTTTGAGGACATCAAGTGGCAGCAAGAGCTGAGCTGGGAGGAGGCTGCTCGGAGCCTGGAGGTGGCCATGTACCCCTTCAAGAAGGTGAGGCTGAGAAGTTGTGTTCAGGTCAGCTCCATGGTGCTGAGGTGGGGTTTGTGTGAGGAGGTGAGACTGGGGGTCCTGAAATATGCATGCAGCTCACTGTTGAGGGCACCTCCCCATAGGTCCCAGCCTGGTGCCTCGGAGATCCCTATCCTCCCGATCCCCTACCATTCATTAAACACACGTATGTTAGAATCAGTACTGAATGGGACTGAGGTTCAGACTGGAGCGTCTGTCTGTCTCACCTTGCCTCCAGATCACCTACCTACCATTCACTGAGGCCTTCGACCGAGCCAACGCTGAAAAGAAGCTGGTGCACTCAATCCTGTTGTGGGGCGCGCTAGATGACCAGTCCTGCTGAGGTGAGGAAAACTATTCCAACAAGGGGACATGGGGGACTTCACAAATCTGGGGAGCAAGAGATTCTAAGCCATGAGGGACTCAGGACTACATCCACAAGGTAGGGCAAGGATTGGGGGTGGAGGTTCTGTGCTGAGCCCAGGAAGCTGTTGGGTACTATACACAGAGTCCTGATAGTCTGGGATCAAATCCCACCTTAGCTATTTCCTCCTCCTCTTCTTGAGCCTGAGTTTTCTCAGCAATAAAAAGGAGGTAACATACTAATCCCCATTGTGGAAGTGAGGGTGAAAGTGCTCTTTAGAGTAGCCTTCTCAAGTAGGAGTCTCTGTAGCAGAGTTCTTGAGGCTGGTGTGCATCCACATATTCAGAAGATCCCCCAAAGCCTGCCCAGTGCAGTGTTCTCAGGCATTCAGCAGAGGACATAGATGGCTCACCTATCAGACACATTCCAGGCACCTGCTGGACTCAGCCCCTGACTAGGTGCTGTTGAGCTGCAGCCAGGTGAGAGGCAACCCCAGCCTTCAGGAGCACACAGTGCAGGGCAGAAGCCAGACACTTGAGTGTTCACTAGTTTGCTGGGATGCAAGTTATGAGAATGTGTAATTAGATGACAGAAGGAAGAGTGTTCCTGAGGGTATAGTCTGTGCAAAGGCCCTGGAACCAGCCAGAATTCCACGGATTTAAGACTTGCCACCGTCTCAAAGACCTTGGGTTAGGATGTCGATATGCTGTTGTTACCCACCACAGCTGCCATTTATTTGGCATCTACAAATTCAAACCTCGAGTTGCTATAATCAAGGATGCTTTAGGCAGAATCTTAAATGATCCAGGAAGTACTAAAAGAAGATGGAAAGAATACACTGAGTCACTGTATTGAAAGGAATTGGCAGACACAGAAGAATTTCTTGAAATAACATATGAGCAAGGGACTATGGTGATGAAGGAAGAAGTCCAAGCTGCTTTGAAGGAAATAGCAAAAAATAAGGCCCCAGGAATAGATGGTATACCAACTGACATATTTCAGCTAACAGATGCTGCCCTTGATGTGCTCACCAAATTGTGCCAACACATCTGGAAAACAACCACTTGGCCAACTGACTGCAAGAGATCTATATTTGTTCCCATCCCAAAGAAGGGTGACCCAACTGAGTGTGGAAACTACAGAACAATATTATTGATTTCACATGCAAGCAAGATTCTACTGAAGATTATTCAGGGGAGCTCTGGTGGCCTAGTGGCAAGAAGCTGCAACTACAATCCCAGAGGTGCACGGTTCGAATCCACCAGATGCTCTGCTGGGGAAGGAGGGGCAATCTCCTCCTGTACCAGTCAAATCTGATTTGACAGTACACGCACACAAAAATAATAAAATAAAATTTAAAAAAAATTATCCACAGCACATCAGCAGAGAACTGCCAGAAGTCCAGGCTGGGTTTAGAAGGGGTCGTGGTACTAGGGATATTGTAGCTGATGTTAGACGGATCTTAGCTGAAAGCATGGAATACCAGAAGAATGTCTATCTATGTTTCATTGATTATGCAAAGGCAGACTGTGTGGATCATAACAAATTGTGGTTGACTCTGAGAAGAATGGGAATCCCAGAACACTTGATCGTGCTAATGCAAAACTTATACTTGGACCAAGAGGCAGTCGTCAGAGCAAGGAAACACTGCATAGTACAAAATTGGAAAGGGTATATGATAGGGATGTGTCCTATCTCCATACCATTTCAACCTGTATGCAGAATAGATTATCCAGGAGGCTCGGCTCTATGAGGAGAAGAGTGGCATCAGGATTGGTGGAAGATCTATCAACAATCTGTGTTATGCAGATGACACAACCCTGCTTGCTGAAATTGAGGAGGACCTGAAGCACTTAATGCAGAGGGTCAAGGACTGCAAGGACTCAGTATGGATTGAGGCTCAATGTCAAGAAGACAAAGATTCTCACCACTTGGACCAATTGGCAGCATCAGATTGGATGGTGAAGAGATTGAGATTGTTAAGAAATTTAGTCTACTTGAGTCCACAGTTAACACTCTTGGCACCAGCAGCCAGGAAATTAGAAGACGTATTGCCATGGGAATGTCTGCTGTTAGGGACCTCTCCAAAGTACTGAAGAGCAGTGGTGTCACTCTGGAGACTAAGGTGCTTCTGATAAAGGCCATGGTCTTTGCACTATGCATCAGAGAGTTGGACCATGACTAGGGGAAGATAGAAGGAGAATTGATCCCTTTGAGCTGTGGTGCTGGACAAGAGTATTGAGTTTACCATAGACTGCTAAGAAAGCAAACAGATTCATCCTGGAGAGGGTTAAAGCGGGCTGCTCCTTGGAGGCAAGGATTCTGAGGCTTCGTCTGACATGCATTGGACATGTAAGGAGAGTCTGGTCCTTGGAGAGGGACATCATGCTTGGGAGGGTGGAGAGACAGCACAGGAGAGGAAGGCCCTCTATGAGGTGGATTGATTCAGTGACTGGAGTAATTGGGATGGGTGTGTCGTAGGCAATGTGATTGGCACAGGATAGAACAGGGCTTAGGGCTGTTGTACATAGGGTCACTATGAGTCGCAAGTGACTTGACAGCACATAACACTGAATATCCCATGGACTGCCAAAAGACAACAGATAAGATACTGGGAAGGTGCAGCCAGACGCTCCTTAGAGAAAAGGGTGGTAAAGCTTCATCTTACATTCTCTGGACATGTTGCTACAAGGGGCTATTCTTTTCTTTTTTAAACCAAACCATCAGAAATGTTATAATTTTTTTCCCTATTGTTGCACATTTTCTTCTCTCTCTCAACTTCTCCCTTCCCCAGCCCTACCCTTCCTTGTTCCAGATTCTTGTCATTTAGATAATGCCTGATCATATATTCATTTTGTACCATTCTTCCACTCATCTGATCTACTGCAGTGTTCATTACCTAGATGTCCACTCCTTTTTTCCCATTCTCTCCCTAACCCCCCCATGTTAGTCCTGTTTTATAACAGTGGTGTTAATGTAGTATTTGTCCTTTTGTGACTGAGATATTTCAGTCAGTATAATGCCCTCCAGGCTCCCCCATTTAGTGTATTGTTTTACAAGTTCATTGTTTCTCAGTGCAGCATAATATTCCATTGTATGAATGTATCATAGTTTTGTTGATGGTTGTTGTTGTTATGTGCTCTTGAGTTACCTGTGACTCATAGTGACCCTATGTACAACAACCCTAAATCCTGCTCTATCCTGTCAATCTTATTGTCTCTGACACACCTACCCCCATTACCCCAGTCACTGAATCAACCATCTCATCGAATGTCTTTCTCTCCTGTGCTGTCACTCCAACCCTTCCAAGCATGACATTCCTCTCCAAGGACTTGTCCCGCCTTACAACATGTCCAAAGTATGTCAGATGAAGCTGCAGAATCCTTGCCTCTAAGGAGCAGCCTGGCTTCACCCTAACTAGGTTTCCCTAGCAGTCTATGGTATATTCGGCACTCTTCTCCTGTACCACAGCTCAAAGGCATCAATTCTCTTTCTATAATTCCTAGTCTTTGTCCAGCTTTCTGAGCAGACGTACCTTGGTGTCCAGTTTTCTTGTTGTGAAGCTTTAATCTATATTGAAAGCTGCAGTCCATGATCTTCTGCAGCAAGCTCTTCAGGTCCTCCTCAGTTTCATCAAGCAGGGTTGTGTCATCTGCATAATGCAGATTATTGATGAATCTTGCTCCAATCCTGATGCCACATTGCCCCTCTTATAGTCCAGTGTTCCAGATGATCTGTTCTGCATACAGATTGAAAAGATATGGAGACAGAATACATCCCTAGTGGATAGCCGTCCCAGTTTCAAACCATGTGGTGTCTTCTTGCTCTGTTCTGATGACTGCCTCCTGGTCCAAGTATAGGTTTCACATAAGCACAGTCATGTGTTTTGGGATTTCCATTCTTGTCAGAGTCAGTTTGTGGTGATCCACACAGTAAAATACCTTTGCATAATCAGTGAAACACAGATAGACATTCCTCTGGTACTCTCTGCTTTTGGCCAAGATCCATCTGACATTAGCTATAATATCCCTAGTACCACAGCCTCTTCTAAACCCAGACTGCACTTCAGGCAGTTCTCTGTTGATATGCTTTTCCAGTCATACTTGAATAATCTTCAGCAAAATCTTGCTTGCATGTGATATCAATATTGTTCAATAATTTCTGCACTCTGTTGGATTACCCTTCTTTGGGATGGGAACAAATAAAGATCTCTTCCGGTCAGTGGGGCAGGTGGATGTCCTCCAGATTTCTTGGCACAACTTTGTGAGTATATTCAGGGTGGTGTCTATTCGTTAAAATATGTCAGTTGGTATGCTATCAATTCCTGGTGCCTTGTTTTTTTGCCATGTTGTTGTTGTTGTTATGTGCCGTCGAGTCGCTTGCGACTCATAGCGACCCTATGTACAACAACCCTAAACCGTGCTCTATCCTGTGCCAATCTCATTGCCTCTGACACACCCATCCCAAGTACCCCAGTCACTGAATCAATCCACCTCATAGAGGGTCTTCCCCTCCTGTGCTGTCCCTCTACTCTACCCAGCATGATGACCCTCTCTAAAGACCTGTCTCTCCTTACAACATGTCCAAAGTATGTCAGACGAAGCCCCAGAATCCTTGCCTCCAAGGAGCAGCCTGGTTTAATCCTCTCTACGATGAATCTGTTTGTTTTCTTGGCAGTCCATGGTACATTCAAAACTCTTCTCCAGCACCACAGCTCAAAGGCGTCAATTCTCCTTCTATCCTCCCTAGTCATTGTCCAACTCTCTGATGCATAACAAGTGATTGCAAAAACCATGGCCTGTATCAGGCGGACCTTAGTCTCCAGAGAGACACTGTTGCTCTTGAGTATTTTGGAGAGGTCCCTAACCGCAGACTTTCCCATTGCAATATGTTTTTTTGTTTCCTGGCTACTGGTGCCAAGAGTTTTGACTGTGGAGCCGAGCAAACTGAAGCTGTAAACAATCTCAATCTCTTCGCCATCCATCCTGATGCTACCGATTGGTCCAGTGGTGAGAATTTTTGTCTTCTTGACATTGAGCCTCAGTCCATACTGAAGGCTGCAGTCCTTGACCCTCTGCAGTAAGTGCATGAGGTCCGCCTCAGTTTCAGCAAGCAAGGTTGTATCATCTGCATAACGCAGATTGTTGATAGATCTTCCACCAATCCTAATGCCACGCTTCTCCTCATAGAGCCCCGCCTCTCGGATAATCTGCTCTGCATACAGGTTGAAAAGGTATGGAGATAGGACACATCCCTGACGTACACCCTTCCCAATTTTGAACCATGCAGTGTTACCCTGCTCTGTTCTGACGATTGCCTTTTGGTCCAAGTATAGGTTTCGCATTAGCACGATTAAATGTTCTGGAATTCCCATTCTTCTCAGAGTCAGCCACAGTTTGTTATGATCCACACAGTCAAATAACTTTGCATAATCAATAGAATGGGGTATTCTTAGATGGTGACATCATGCTAGAAAAAGTGGAAAGTCAGTGAAAGAGAAGAAAACCCTCCATGAGATCGATGGATACAGTTACTGCAGCTGTGGGCTCGAGTATGTCAGAGATGATGAGGCTGGCACAGGGTAGGAAAAAGTACAGATCTCTTGTTCTTAGGGGTGCTGTGAGTCATATTCAATGGCACTTAACAACTGTGAGTGGGCTGCAGAGACCAATCAGTTGCCCATGGGGTTTACCTACTGCAAGGTTATTGCCGACTGAAAACATGGGGAGGGCGCCTCACACTCTGGCTTGGCCTCTTCCTGCACAGGTTCAGGGCGGACTCTCCGGGAGACTGTCCTGGAGAGTTCGCCCATCATCGCCCTCCTCAACGAGAGCTTTATCAGCACCTGGTCCCTGCTGAAGGAGCTGGAGGAGCTGCACGTAAGTGGGCAGTTGGGCGGGCCCCCAGGAGAGCCTGCAGAACGATGGGAGGGATGAAGGGGGTCAGAAATGTTCCTGGCTCTCCCCACAGAACAGCCAAGAGAACTCGTCCCACAAGAAGCTGGCCAGCCTGCACCTGGAGAAGTACAGCTTCCCAGTGGAGATGATGATCTGCCTTCCCAATGGCACTGTGGTAAGCAGTCCCGCCTCAGACGCCTCGGACCCCTCAGACCCTTCAGGACGAAGCGCTGTGGGGAAGTGGAACAGAGCTCATCAGGCTTGGGCTGCTTCTGCCACTTCCTGGGTACACAACCCTAAGCCATCCTCTGCAGCAATGGGCTCAAGTGTGTCAGAGACACACAGCGAGGATGGCACTGGATGGGACAGGTTTCAGATCTATTGTTCACAGGGTCACTATGAGTCAGTCACACAGGACTCGACAGCACGTAACAACGGTAAACTAGTCTGACCCTCATTTACCCCCATCTGCAGAATAGGACTTGTAGTGACCCTTCTGCCTGCCTTATATGGATATTGGGAAGCTCCCACAGGAAGGTGGCCATGTAGCACTAGGGGACCACACAGCAGTGGGCACAGTTAACCTGTTCCCTGTGGGCTGAGCAAGTTCAGTGGAAGGGAAGCCTAGAAGGAAAGGCTCAGCTTGGACTGTTGCAGTCATCTCAGATGGAAGCCGAGAGGAACCAGCAGGAGATGGGCGGCCTGGTTCAGGACCTTGTGGCTCCTCAGGGTCCTTGCTCAGCACTCACTACATCCTGTCATTGGGTCCTCATCACAGCTTTGGGAGAGAGATGAATGTTTTACAAATAAGGAAAGAGAGACTCAGAAAATAGAGTTGGCTAAAGTTGTCCCACAGCTGAAGTACAGGCCTGTGAGAGAGAGGATCTCCTGGTCTTCTGGTCAGAGCTGCCTTTTTACTGTTAGCCTCAAGCAGCAAGCATAGCATAAAGCGCTGGCAGGTGGTGGCCAGCATCCCCAGTATCTCGGGAGCTGGAGCAGGAGCTGGCACTGGCCCAGTAAACGTGCTCAGTGGGAGCTTGGTGGAGAGGAAGAGGCTCCTGCTTGTCCAAGGTGAGGAAAGGCCTAGGGGAGAGCCAGCCCTGCAGTGTCCCTGACATCGACACTGGGGCCAGCATAGGGCTGAAATGAGCAGAGAGGGATAGCCCCATCTCTTATGCTTGCTCTCATTCATTGGTTGGTTTGTTAGCTTGCTCAATTCTTGTACATACATCCTTTTCCTGAGCCCCTACCTGTGCCAGGCCCTGTGCATAGAAAAAGACATGGTCTTGACCTTCGGGATACTGGCTGGAGCAGGTCATCAAGTGTAGCTCTGTGGGTAAAAGACCTGGTGACCTGCTTCCATAGAGATTATAGCCAAGAACCCTGCAGGTCGCTTCTACTGTGTTATAGGTGGTCACCATGAGTTGGAATCAGCTGGACAGTTTCTGACAGCACAGCAAGTAAGGAGTAGCAGAAAAGATGCATTAAAAATGTCACGTTTCCACCCAGTGGACAGGAGTAAAAGAGTTCTGGTCAGAGTATGCAGTGTGAGCAACCAGAAGACAAGAACAGTCTTGGCCATTGGGATGGGCTCAGGAAGGGCTCATAAAGCTGTGGCTGACTGTCTGCTACCCTCTCAGAACACAGAGCATGGAGAGCAGAGAGTGGTCACTTTTCCCAGAAAACATGAGCAGGCAGGGAGAAGAGGGTCCCCTGAGGAAAGTGGTTTCTCCCCACTCTCCTCACACTCCCTCCTTTCAGGTTCATCACATCAACGCCAACCACTTCCTGGACATTACCGCCAAGAAGCCCGAGGATGGCTTCAGCTTTTCAACTACCTTTGAAGACCCATCCACAACCACCTACATGCAGTTCCTGAAGGAGGGACTCCGTCGGGGCCTGCCCCTCCTCCAGCCCTAGTGTGTGGCAAAGTCTCATCATCCTATATTCCAGTACAGTCCAGCCAACACTCAGCCAGTGCCGTCCTGACCATCCAGTGCCGTCTACCAGCATGTCCACCATCAGGTGGCAATGAAGCTCCTTGGCCACTGATGAAGCTTCAGTCCATGTCCTGAGCCACTGACCACAGCCAGTTTCTTTTTATACACACCAAAAGTGTTTCTATGTTAACTTCCTCACAGTTTGTATATATTTTTAATAACGCCAACGCTGAGGAGAAAGAAGGGAGAGATGGCTTCCCTAGTGGCCGCCCCATGATGGCTGGGTCTGAAATCCAAGATGGACCCAGCTTGATGTGTTTGCAGTTCACCTCTGGGAAGAAATCTTTTTCTCTTCTTCTCTTTAAGCTTTTTGAAAGCCTTCCTTAGAGCGTCAGTGCTCCCCTGGCCCTGTCTTTGTCCTCAACTCTTCCTTGTGGGCTTTGAGGCAAGGCCACACCCCACTTCTAGGCCAGAGGCTTCCTCTCCAGAAGAGCAGGCATTTTATCTCCCATCAGGCAGGGCTCATCTGCCCTTGGAACATCCACACAGAGGCTTCCTCATAGCCACTTTTGTCTCGGTTTTGTAGTGAATTGCAATAAAGCAGCCCATTATCAAGAGCCTTCTCTGTGGGAGGTACTTTGCAGAGGAGACATGTATTTTCCCATTTCATCCCCTCGGCAAACCTTGAGGTGGGAGTTGGTTGTTCCACCTCTTTAGATTAAGAAACTGAGACTCAGGGAAGTTAAATGACTTGCTCAAGATCTCTCAGCTTTCACTTCAAACCTACAAGCCATGTCTTGTTTGAAGGGTGCTTTGTTTCACACTGTACCCTCATTTATCTCCCTTGACTCTTCACTGAGGTGAAAAGGAAAGGTGTTCAAACCAAAATATCTCAGTTTGCTCTGATTGCCAATCAAATGAGGCATAGACCAGCAAGTCCAGGCAGCCTGTTTGTATCCCGGGAATCAGGGATGTTCTGGGCCCGTACAGGCAGAGAGGGCACCTATGCCTACCCCAGTGCCTCTGGGGACAGTAGCCCATCAGATGAGCCACAGGTGCTATCAGAGGGATAATCCAGCATCCCCACCCCTACAAGCCATCACCCTCATGTTGCTCTGGGGGAGTTGACACCACGAGGACCAGCCTGCCCTCTTGTGTCCCCTAACATGTCTCTCCCATCCTAAACATGTTCTCTAATAAAATCAAAGAGCCTCAAGTACTTCTGAGTGTGTCTCCTTTGAGTGGGATGTTCTGTCTGTCTTTCCATGGTCTGACTCCCCTCTGTGTCAAGATTGGTTTGGCAATTGAATAATTGAGCTCAGACTGTCTCCTCTGTCACCAAAGTACTGGAATAGCTTGTCTAAAATAAGTCTGTGTTAAGCAGTCCAACCATTTGAGACCATGCAGAGATGGCAGCCCACAGGATAGAGGCAGTCAGTGGATAATGACTGCTGCTGGTGTTAAGATTATGAAGGCAAAGCCTGTGCCTTAGGCCAGCCTCCCTGGAAGCAGAGCCTGAGATGGACATGAGGGCTCAGGTCACTTTTCAAATGAATGTACTTCAGAGAAAACTTGCAAGAGAAGAAGTGGCGATGACTAGGGAAGGGACCATTCGGGGCAAGGGTGGTGGCTCACAGCCCAGCCCAGGCCAGATCTATAGGAGGAGGGCACAGGAATAGAATCAGCAGCCATGTTGCCTCCTGAACTGGCCTTTTGGTCAGTCAGTCCTTTATTGGGGGTGAAGTAACTACCAAGGCTAAGTAAGAACTCTGACCTCCTTCCACCAAAGGTAATATTCACAAGAAAAATTTAGGTCAGTGGGGAGATGGGTTCCCTATCTGAGTAAATGCATCCAGGTGGGTGAAATAGCCACTTCATATGCAGGGCAGAATTTGAGGGTGGGTTTGCAGTAGCCATGGCCCAGGTGAAGGGAGCAACAAATCTGCCATCCTGCAAAGAGTACTGGGCCTAGAAGTCAACTTTTCATCCTCAGCCTTGGAAAACCTGCAGTAACTCATATGGGAAATTGCCCATCTTTTCTCTCGTGGAGCAACTGGTGGATTTGAAGTGCATGCCTTTGGGTTGATAGCACAGGTCCTTAAACTAAGCCACCAAAGCTTCCTTTATTTTGCACAAGGACTTTCAAATGATGTAGCTGGACCTTGCGGTAGACTGCAGACATAGTCCTGCCTGATTCCCACCATGTTTCAGAGGAAGGCCAGCTCAGGAGGAAACATGTCTGCTGATTGGAGTTGTCAACAATTTCATTTTACTTGACACTCATGGTAACAGCAAGTCAAGAAATCAAAAGTTGGACAACGGACTGCCTAAAAACCAAACAAACCTGGCTTTAAGGAAGTGCATCCAGAGTTTTCTTAGAATCAAGCATTTACTTTGGACATATTCTCAAGAGGCACCAATTCTTGGAGAGAGACATCATGTTGGGGAAAGGGCGAGTGCCAGAGACAGAGAGGAAGACATTCAGATGCACAGACAGGGCTTCCAAGCTTGCCATAAACGCGGTTTTGCATATACACGACTGTGGCCAGGAGACACCAAATATGCAGGAGTTCGAGCAGCAACACAGTCGACCATGCATTAGGCGTGTTATCATGAGTGGTCACGACATGGAGAAAGTCGCTAGGCTTGGTACAGGGTCAGTGAAAAAGCAGAAGACCTTCTACGAGATAAATCGACACGGTAGTCAGAATAGTTTGAAGCCCAGCAATGATTGTGAGAGTACATGAGTGTTTCATTTCTTGTGCCTGGGGTCGCTGTAAATCCAAGCCAGCTGGAGGGCGCCTCACAAGTAACACTACCAGGATTAAACTTTGTTGCAGAGAGGCGGAGACCAGCTGCGAAATGCTCATTCCTCGGAGACATCAGGCTTGGAAAAGTGAAGGGTCGGCGAAAAAGAGGAAGACATTCAACCAAGTGGATTGACACAGTGTGTCAGAGATTATGAGGATGGCACAGCATAGGACAGGGTTCAGATCTGATATTCACAGCGTTTCTAGGGGTCGTACTCCTCCGCATCTAACAACCACCATCACTACCTCCGGCTCAAGCCACAGGTAAAGAGTGGGCAGCAAGAAGAGAGCTTGCTTCCTCAGATCCGGGCCCATTCCTCCTGCCCCACCCGTGCGGAGGCGCTGCACGCCCCGCCCCGAGGAGGGGCCTCCCGAAGGCGCGCAGCCGCAAAGGATCGCTTCCGGGGAGGTGGGCGGGCCGGCGGAAGTGAGAGCCGTGGAGATGGGCGAGCTGTTGTGGTAGGAGGGGCCGTGAGGTGAGTAAATACCGGAGCCGGGACCGAGGTGAGAAAAGGTGTGTCTGTGTGTGTCTCTGCAGCTGGATCGCAACCTTCAGGCAGGGCGATGCCTTACGTCTCTGTGCTGGGCGCTGTTCGGAGCCTCCGGCTCTAGTTCCCGCGGGAGCCCCTGTTGGCTGCCTCTTTGGGCTGGATGGGGAAACTGAGTTCCCGAGGGATAGTTGTTACCCCGAGTTACCGGAGAAGCGGTGCCAGGGCTAGACCAGGGGATTTCTCCTCTTGGGCGCGCTCCTTGCCGTCCCCTCGCCCCTTCTGACAGTCGGTGCCGGCGCCGAGGGTCCCGCGCTTTCCTTGCCTGGGCCTGTGTGGCCAGGGGCCGCCGGGGCGGGCGGCGCGAGTTTGGCCGACCTTGGCTCTGGTCGGGTCGAGCTGGAGCGGAGGAGGGAGGCGTGTCCTGGGCTGGGGCCCAGCAGCTGTTTTCCCTCTCGGCGCTGCGTTTTGAGGCCCTTGCGTGGTGACAATCGGCGCGGATCCGCTCTACAAAGTTTCCCTGGGCAGAGGCTTCCGTGGGCGCCCGGACCCAGGGTGATGAGACAGGCCCGTCGCTGGCGGAGCGCCCGGTCTCCTTAGAGAGAACCAAAGTAAAACAGACCCACAACCACTCGTCAGAGACTGGGGGAGCGCAGAGGGGCAGAGAACCCTCCCGTGTGGCCAGCGAACTGGGGGAAGATTCTTCTGGCCAGTGACGTTTGCATGGAGCCTTTTGAAAACTCGGTGGTTCTCATTCATTCATCCATTCATTTCTTAAACAAGTGTTTATCAAGTGTTTACTGTGTGCTAGGCAGGTGTTGCGATGTGGCCTTGAGAAGTCCCTGACCCGACAGGCTGTTACCTAATTGCCATTGGAAGAGAATTCAGACAAATGCGAGGTGTTGGCAAGTGAAAGGACCAAGCCTCACAGGGGAAGTGGGGCCTGAACTGATCTCTAAGGAATGAGGGTGGTGAAAAGGATGCTGATGTTTCAAGCGGAGAGAACAGTGTGGAGAGAGGCTCAGAGGTGGTGTTTTCTACTTCTGTGACCAGAGGAAGGGACAGGCAGGACCTGTGTCTGCTGAAGTGTAAAGGGTCAGATTGTACAAGGCCCTGTTGGCTCTGATGGGGCTTTGGAGGCAAAAAAGAGGAAATGAGGCTGGGTGAGAAGCCTTGCATGTTGTAATGGGAGTTTAGATCTTATTCAATTGGTCCTAGGAAGCCAGTAAAGAAATTTAATACAGTAATATGGTCAAAAGTATATTTCAGAAAGATCCCCTAGGTTAGGGTTAGGGTTGAGGGTTAGACCCAACTCTTATCTTTGGAAGTAAGATCAGGGAGAAGGTGGTTATAATGAGTAAGGTGAACAGCAGAAAGGAGCACTGTTCTGTGGTGCTTTATACAAGCACTGACAAACATGGCTCACAGGGGAACTTTGGCAAATGAAGGCTTGAATGGAGATGAGAACATAGAGTTCCCACAGCAGTCAGTAAGTTCCAGACTGGGTATTAAGTGCTTTTTATTACAGGAATGACCACTGAGTGGCTCAGAAAAGTCCCTTCCATCTCCAGTGCCCTTTCCCCTTCCTTATCATAAAGTGAATGATAGTCTCTTTTCCAGGGTAGGAGAAACAGATGAGGGATGACTCTAGAAAGAGCTGCCAAGTTGGTCCCTTCTTCAGTCTGTTTATAACTCTCTAGTTACTTCTCACTTAGACACTCTCAGTCTTACACTTTCTCTCTACACATTCCTCAGCTTCCTAGCCTGGACCTGTTTTTGCTGCTTTACTTCTCCCTTTTATACTCCCCTGACCTCACCATACAGTTGCTGCCAAGTTAAATTAGAGTCATGGTAACCCCATGTATACATTGTACCCCATATAGTTTTCAAAACTGTGACCTTTCAGAATCAGATCAATTGCTAAGCCTTTCTTCCAACCTGTTTCTGAATGAGTTACAACCTCCACGAGGTAATATTATTTAGCCGGTTTTCAAAATATACTCCGGTCCTTTCTACCTGCTAGCGCTTGAACGCATGGAAACATCTTAATATTCCATTGCACAGGGCCTGCTATCTTTGGTGTTTGATGAATGAGCTCATCTGCTTACCATGAAGGCAGCTGTGAAGAGGCCAGACAATAGTAAACCCCTCACTCCCTGCATATGTCTTCATTAAGCACTTTAAAATTCTGTTTTACTGATTCTTAAAGTAACCTGGCATGGTAGCTGTACAAGTCTAGTAGCCCTTTTTACCAGGGCTTTAAATTGGTTCATCCAGGTTCAACCTCTTGCAGAAAGGTTGTGTTTCTGTCCTGTGTATGCTAAGTTAGAAGGTATATTTTAAAAATCGTCACACTGGGCCAAATAGGCAACATCATAACCGTACTGTTATATGCTATTGAATTGACTCTCATAGTGGCCCTGTGAAGAGTGGATCTGAACCTTGCCCAGTCCTGTGCCATCTTTGTCATCTTTGATATATTTGAACCTATTGTTACAGTCACTGTGTCATTCCATCTTATTGAGGGTCTTTCTTTCATTGACTTTTTGAAGCATGATGTCTTTTTCCAAGGACTGGCCCCTCTGAACAATATGCCCAAAGTAAGTGAGATTTAGTTTCACCATCCTTGCCTCCAAGGAACACCCTGGTTTCACATCCCCCAGGACAGACCTCTTGGTTCTGTTGGCAGTGCATGGACTATTCGATACTCTTTTTTAGCACCACAACTCAAAGACATCGATTCATCTAGTCAGTTTCATAATGGAGAAAAAAATTGAAGCTGTCAGTGATAGCAGCAGTCAAGAAATAAAGACATGTTACATTGGGAAAATCTGTTGTTAAAGATCTCTTAATAGTGCTAAGTAGCAACAATGTCATTTTAAAGGTGGACCTCATTCAGGCCATGGTCTTTTCATTTATTTGCTGTGCAGCTGAAAACGGGACAGTGAATAAGGATGACAGAAGATTCAATGTGTATTATTTTGTGGTGTTGGAGAAGAATAGTGAATATCCCATCGACTGTCAAAGAATAAACAAATGTCTTGGAGAGAGTGTAAGCAGGGTACTCCTTAAGTCAAGGAAAGTGGAACTATCTCATACCTTGGGCATATTGTTCAGATGGGCTAGTGCTTGGAAAAATACATCATGCTTGGAAAGGCAGAGGGTGAGTGAAAGACCTTCTTCACGTGTTGACCCAATGACTGTAATAATGGATTCAAGTCTATCAGAGATGATAAGGATGGTACAGGATAAGGCAAGGCTCAGATCCATTGTTCATAGGGTCATATGAGTCACAGTCAACAGTTCACCTAACAATAACAATTGTGTTAGTGTGCTGGAAACCTTTCTTTTTTTAAATAAATGGAAACAGCAGTATTCTAAAGGCAAAATGACTTGCCTAAGCCTAGAAAGTCAGTAGATAACTGAGCTAGTATAAAATACTGGGCTTTTCTCAGTATAGCCAAGAAGACTAAGTTTGACACGACCTCCTGGATGATAATTTGGCTTTCCCATGAGCTTTGTAGCTAGCCAGGGATTTTACTTACATCAGATCTTTCCTCAGTAAACTCAAGAGTCCAGAAAAGCTCCCACAGCTACCTAAAGTCACCTAGAAATTATGGAGTAAAATCTTTAAGGTCTATGTTTGGAGGGGCCAGTATTGAGCAGAGATATCCTCTTACACTGCTTTTCTCTTCCATTAAACATCAGAAGTCTGTTTCCCTGTTTATCATGGCTCCACAGGACTTGGCTTAGTGTGGCTTTTGTGCTGGCCATCACTCTGGGGTTTATTTCACAGGAAGGGAAGTAAATGCCTCGGGATGGCCTGATATGAAGCAGTTACGCCTCCAAGCCTCCAGAGCTGCCCTGTGGCTGCCTTGTGCTTCAAACGCAGGAGCTGGTTGCAGTGTTGGGGATGGAAGCCAATGTGGTAAGGGGCATACACAAGCAAGGGGTACAGCGGGGAAGACTGAGCACTGGGCTTGATGAAATTCTGACTCTTCTTTTGCCCTGGAAACCTAGAATTGATTAAAGGTGCTTTGCCTTTTTTCAGTGTTCATCCCAGAGAGAACCAGCTGTGATCTTGGGGCAATTCAGGGATCTCCTTCTGCCCGTCTGTGGAGAAGGAGGGGAGGGAAGCCTGGAGAGTCCCTATGACCAGCTAATTTTTTACCTCTCCACTGATCCCTCACAACACTGACTTTGCCTTGCGCTGAGGCAGGCACTGTCCTTACGTGGCTGGACAGAGTGAATCTGGCAGTAGGGAACCTTGCCCACATAACTGAGATGTGACTTACCCCTGGGGAGTGCCCTGTCCTTGAGATTGAGGCATTCATTCTGCTTAGGAGCAGGAGCAAGAACAGTTGTTGAACTTGCTATCTGTTATCCCCTTCTCTAGACCATTCCAATCTGGCAAAATAAGCCTCATGGGGCCGCTCGCAGTGTGGTGAGAAGGATCGGAACCAACCTTCCCCTGAAGCCATGTCCCCGGGCATCCTTTGAGGTAAGTACCCTGGAAGAGGAAGGGCAGGAAGAATAGAGGCTGAGAGCATGAGAGGAATGCTGCTTTTGTGCCCCATACCATCAGCATAGCCAAAGCACGTTGCTTTCCAGGTTGTTCCTTTTTTTCTTTTTGGCAATAAGTATTTAAATGTTTTATAATGGACCTGACCACTGTACTTTCCTGATTGCACATAAATTTATGACCACAATAGTCAAATGTCTAAAATGTCCAGACAGTAATAATCATGTGTCCTTATTGCTGCTGTTCAATAATTCTAACGTCATCAGGATCTAGCAAGTTTATCACAGCAAGCCTAATGGCCCTGAATCAGATCTTTAGGCCGGTTACATCTGCACATTGGGGTTTTCCTGCAATCCTGGCATGGAACATTGAGTGATGTGAGCGATTCAGTGTTGAGCTCTAGTTGATTTTTTATTTTTAACCAGCAATATAGCCACCTATTTTTAGCATTTCCCCAAGGCTGTTGCTCCCCATCCTCCTCTCTGGGGCCATTCTAGCTACTCTTTTGAACTTCTGTATACTTAGCTTTGTAGGTGGCAGAGAAGGGCTTTAGCAACCACTCTGGAAGAAAAGCATCTGCCTAGACCAGGCATCTAACCTCTATTGCAATGGAAAGCTAACTGACATTTGTTAGACCACATTTCCTCTCTCTGTAGGGAGTATTAGTTAAGCACCAGCTCCAAGCTCTGCACTACATGCTTATCGCACCAGCTTTTAGGGAGGTGGACACAGAAGAAATATTTTGGATTTCTCTCTACAAGAATATGTGCATGAAGGGATGTGGATCCAGGCAGAAGCCAATTAAAGAACTGAGTTTGTATATAGATGATGAATGGGAAATTTTGTATAGGTGCTAGAGTTAGAAGTGGTGTCAAGGTTGTTATAGTCAGGAATGGGGTTTTTACGTTAGGGAGTCACCAGTGACCCAGATTGCTTGTTATGCAGAATTACTTGCTAGGGCAGGCAGAATGTAGTGTATCAGAAGGAAAAAGAAGGCTAGCTGATGATTGTGACTGACTCCGTGAAGGTCTGTTGCCATTTGTCTATAACCTTTCCAGCCCTTGGCTAGCTGCTGCTTGGCTGCCAGAGCACAGGCTCCCACCAGGTAAGCCACATTTGAGTATCATTAGTGTACTAGGTAACGTTTACAAAGCACATACTATGTGACAGGGACTGTGCTCATAAGTACTTTATATTATTAATTTAATTGGCCAAGAATAAAGACCATTCAAAACTTATCTAATATAGGAAGGCAATACAGGCTTCTGAAATGGCTTATCTTAGCAGCAACTCTTAGATCGTGACCTTAGTTGTTAATTGTTGTTATGTGCTGGCAAGTTGAGTATGATTCATAGCAACACTGTATATACGCCTGAACCCTGTCATATCCTGTGCCATCCTCTTCATCTCTTACACAGTGGAGCCAATTGCTGCGGTCACTGTGTCAGTCCATCATGCTGGGAGTCTTACTCTCCTTCTCTGACCCTCTACCCCTTCCAGGGAATAGCCTCTCCTAGCACTGTGCCTTCAGTGTGAGAGACAAAGCTTTGCCATCTTTGCTTCCAAGGAGCACCCTGGCTACACCAAGACATACTTACCTGTGGGATATTCAGTACTCTACTCCAACACCTTAACTCAAAGGCATCAATTTTTCTTCTGTCATCCTTATTCATTGTCCATCTCTCAGATGTGTAGCAAGTGATTGAAAAGACCATGGCCTGAATCAGACACATATTAATTAATCTTCAGACTGGAATCATTGTTCTTCAGTATTTTGGAGAGATCTCTGACAGCAGACTTGCCCAGTGCAATAATATATCACCTGATTTCCTCTTGACTGCTAGTACCAAGAAGAGTTTTGATTGTTGATCCAAGCAAAATGAAATCATTGACAATTTCAGTCCTTTCTCCATCTGTCATGTCGCCTATTCCATAGGGGTCCAGATTTCCTATCTAAAAGCCAGAGATGGCAGTTTCTGATCTGTCTACCAAACAATTTAGAGCAGAAGCATCTGAATGTAACATGTGTGTTGTTGTTAGGTGCCATCAAGTCGAGCACAGCTCATAGGGACCCTGTGAACAAAAGATCTGAACCCTGTTCTTTCCTGCGCCAACCTCACACTTCCTGGCACACGAGAGCCCATTGTACCAGTCACCATGTCAGTTCATCTGGTTGAGGGTCTTTTTCTCTTTCGCTGACCCTCCACCCTTCCTAGCATTATGTCCTCCAAGGAATAGCCCCTCCTAGCAACATGTCCAAAGTACACGAGGCAAAGTCTCATCATTCTTGCCTCCAAAGAGCACTCTGGCTGCACCCTCTCCAAGACATATCTGTTTGTTCTTTTGGCCGTCCATGAGATGTTTATTGATTTTCTCCAACACCGCAGCTCTAAGGCTTTAATTCTTTCTCTGTCATCCTTATTCAGTGTCCAGCTCTCAGTTGCATAGCAGGTAATCGGAAAAACTATGGCCTGAATCAGACTCACTTTCAGGCATGCATTTGAAAAAGGGTCACTAAATTATACTATAAATGAAATATAGTAATATTTCTAATTTTTAAAAATCATATGAAAATTTTAAATTATAGAAAGTAAAAAAAAAAAGGAGAAAGGAAAAGTAAATTACCTGTAATTATGCAGTCATGGCATAGTTTAGGTCAGTCCCTTTCTTCTTCTTGATGCTTCTTTTTTAACTTGTAATACAGTTAGCGTACGATTAAATTGTCCAAACTTTTTATTTAATGTAGTGTTAACTTTATTCAGCCTCTCATTTCCTTGCTATTATGCACTTGGATTAAAAGGCTATTTTAAGGAATTCTATTACAATTTCTTTTGTTCATCTTTTCTTTTAATTTAAATGTAGATAATAAAAGCAGAGTAGATCATTTGATTATATGATTAAGAATGGCTAATCCCAATCCATCTTTGCTTTCTAATGCGTAGGATGGCAGTCATCATTTATTTCTATTTTTTCAAGTTCCAGTTTTTCTAGATCCATACTTTGTACATTCTACATTGCAGTTATTAGTGGATATTTTGCAGTTTTGTTCATTTTGATTCTTGTCGCATCAACAAATGAAAGTCTTTTATTAAGCTCTATTAAGTTAATTAAGAGACCCTTTGAGGAAGCAGCTCTCTAGCATTGTCTTCTCTGGCAGTTCAAATCCACTGGAATCCAAGGGAGAAAGATGGGCAGTGTCTTCTCATGTGATATACAACTTCAGAAAACAGCTAGCCAGTCAGCTATGAATCCATGACAATGAGGTTTTTGAGAGTTACTTGGATGATTAGCTCTTCCCCAGCTGAGTTTTGAGTACCTTCCAACCTGAGAGGCTTATCTTCCAGCCTGTATTAAACCAGGCTCTGCTGCTGTTGATAGGGTTCTCGAAGGCCTGTTATTTCAGAAGTGGACAGCCAAGTACTATATCTTAGTCTCAGTCTGGAAACGACTGAAATCCGCTCACCATGGGTAACCCTGCTGGTATTTGAAAGACTTAACCTTTTTTCCCCCAGATAGGCCAAAAAGCAGTTGTTCAAATAGAGCAAGGGACAAGGGAATACTGCATGGTTTAAAATCAGATATCATGCTTAGTAAAGTAGAGGGTCAGTGAAAAAGACTGTGAGCAAGATAGACTGACACAATGATTACAATAATAGGCTTGAGTGTGGCAGACATTGTTAGGATGGTATGGGATAAGGCAAGGAGTTTCTCCCACACGTTAGGAGGTTTTACTATAGAAGTTAACAGGTTACAATACAAGTTGAAAACAACATAATTAGGGCAAAGTTTGATCTTTTGTTCATACACTGTTGAGTCATAGTCTACTGGAAGGTACCTAACACCACCAACATGATATGGAATGGAAATAACTAATCTATAAAATTTTGTAAATTTCCACAAATTAGTTTTGTACTTACCAACATAAGGACTGAATTGGAGACTTGCTTGTCTTCTTAATACAACAACATAATAAACGTATCCAGATTCTTTACAATAGTATTGTCAAAATAATTTAAACCCTAGTGATCTATAAAAGAATTGCAAAGAGTTAGCCTAGGAGAAACTCCTTGGTGATACAAGGGGTTCTTGATGACCTGGCACTTATATTTTTGCCACCAGTAGGCAAGATGGTCTTGTACAGTGTCTTTTTCTGTCAGGAAGTAACTCAGGCCAAACTTACCAAGATTGTTTTGCTCTAGGTCAATGTCTGTAAACTTTTCTGGAAAGGGTCAGATAGTAAATACAGGCCATAAACTCTGCTTAGCTTGAAAGCAGCCACAGACAAGATGTAAAGCAATGGATGTAGCTATCTTCTAGTATAACTTTTTTGATGTAAAAGCTGGCTACAATGCCTGCTCTAAGCCACCATGTTTTTGTTTACAGCATCTTGATAAGTGGTCTCTTACCTTCCCTACCATATTTTACACAGCAGCCATAGTAATCTTTCTCATCCTCAGATCTTGATCGTACCTACTTAAAAGCCTACAATGGCATGCCATTGGTTTTAAGAGTTGAGTCAGTGACTCTTGATTTACTCTCTAGCTTTTCTTTTCTAGCCATTCTGTACTCTTTGTAATCCCATGAACTCTTCTGCTTTTAAACTCTAGCCAAACTGTTTCCAAGATCCTCCTCTACTATACAAAGCCATTTGACAATGTGGATCACAACAAATTGTGGCTAACCTTGAGAAGAATGGGAATTTCAGAACACTTAATTGTACTCATGTGATACCTATACTTGAACCAGGAAGTAGCAGTAAGAACAGAGCAGGGAAACACAGCATGATTTAGGTTCAGGAAAGGTGTGCATCGGGGATGCATCCTGTCCTCATACTGTTTCAATCTATATGTGGAACAGATCATTTGGGAGGTTGGACTTTATGAGGAGAAATGTGGCATCAGGATTGGAGGAAGACTCATCAACAGCCTATGTTATGCAGATGATACAACCCTGCTTGCTGAAACTGAGGAGGACATGAGGCATTTGCTGCAGAAGGTCAAGGACTGTAGTTTGCAATATGAATTGAAGTTCAGCATTAAGAAAACAAAGATTCTCACACTGGGCTAGTTGACAGCTTCATGGACAGAGATTGAGATTGTTGCTAACTTCAGCTTGCTTGATCCTACAATCAACACTCTTGGCACCAGCAGTTAGGAAATCAAAAGATAAACTGCATTAGATAAATCTGCTGTCAGGGACTTTTCTAGAGTACTTAGAAGCAACAGTGTCAGTCTAGAGACTAAGGTGTGCCTAATCCAGGCCATGGTCTTTGCAATTACTTGCTATGCATCAGAGAGCTGGACAGTGACCAAGTATGACAGAAGAATCAATGCCTTTGAGTTGTGGTGCTGGAGAACTGTATTGAACATACCATGGACTGCCAAGAGAACACAAGTCTCTCTTGGAGAGGGTGAAACCAAGTTGCTTACTGAAGGCAAGGATTTAAAAACTCCATCTGACATACTTTGGGCACATGGCCAGTAGAGACCAGTCCTTAGAGAAAGACGTCATGCTTGGTATGGTGGACAGAAAGACCCAGGGGAGGAAGGCCCAGGATGAGATGGATTGACTCAGAGACTAGAGAAATGAGATTAGGTCTGTCAGAGATGATGAGATTGGTGCAAGATAGAGCTAGTTCAGAGCTAATGTACATACGGTCACTATGAGTCACAGGTGACTCGATGACACATAACAACAATCCACACAAGGGTCCATACATACATACAGCATTTTCCTGGTTCTCTTCATTACTTAAATGAAAACCTTCCACAAAGTCTGGAGCCCTTAATGTCCTGCAAATAAAGGAATAGAATGTCCTCAAATTCCTTGCAGCAGGAAAACACTTTTGGGCGGCACCAACCTTGACTTCCAAATGGAACAGTACATCTACAAAACATCTACAAAAGGAAAAGTGATAGCATGTACATCATAAACCTGAAGAGGACCTAGGAGAAGCTTCCTTTGGCTGCTTGGGACATTGGTACCATTGAAAATCCAATTGATGCCAGTGTCATATCCTCCAGAAATACTGGCCAGAAAGCTTTGCTGAAGTTTGCTGCTGCTACTGGAGCCACTCCTATTGCCCAGCGCTTCACTCCTGGAACCTTCATTAACCAGATCTAAGCAGTCTTCCAGGAGCCTTGTCTTCTGGTGGTTACTGATCTCAGGGCCAACCACCAGTCTCTGACAGAAGCATCTTATATTAGTAACTTGCCCACCATTGCCTGTGTAACACAGATTCTCCTCTGCATTACGTAGACATTGCTATCCCATGCAAGATCAAGGGAGCTCACTCTGGGTTTAACATTGTGGAGCTGGCCTGGGATGTTGCACACGTGTGGCACAATCTCCTGGGAGCATCCATGGGAGGTCATACACAAAATCTGTATATCTGCAGAGAGCTGGAGGAGATTAAAAAGAAAGAGCAGGCTGCTGCTGAAAAGGTTGTGACCAGGACAGTTTCAGGGAGGACGGTCATCTCCTGCTCAAGTTAGTGCTGTTCAGCCTGAGGTTGCAGACTGGTCTGAATGTGTGTAGGTGCCCTCTCTGCCTATTTTGCAGTTCCTGACTGAAGACTGGAATGCTCAGCCCACAACTGAAGACTGGTCTGCAGCGCCCACTGCTCAGGCTACTAAGTGTCAGAACCACCACCAAGTGGTCTTAAACAATCTTTTAAAAAGTGGAAATAAGGTTTCCAATGCATTTCTTTGAAAAAAAAAACCCTCTTTTTCTTTCCTTCTAGGAAGCTTCACTGACATGTCCTGTATATTTTGTACATTTCCCTCTGCTTGTCTCATCATGGTGACAATAAATGTTTATTTTGCTTCTCATAGACCCTACCAAATATCTCGGACCTGTGTCTGAGGGATGTGCCCCCAGTTCCCACCCTGGCTGACATCGCCTGGATTGCTGCGGATGAAGAGGAGACCTATGCCCGGGTCAGGTAGCTGACAGTAGCCACTCTGCCAGGGAAAGGCAGCTTTCCCGATGAAGGGTGGCAAGCAGCAGAGAGCATTTTCTTGAGAGATCTGAGGGCAGTAGGAAGTAGAGTTGTTGCTGTTCTGCAGGCCTGCAACTCCCAAGATTCAGAGTGAGAAAATGGCTGTGTTACTATTAAAGGAAGGGTGGAAGAATTTTCATTTAGTGGCTAACTGTCGCCAACTAAAAATTGTCTTTTTGTGGCCTAGGAGCGATACACGACCCCTGAGGCATACATGGAAGCCCAGCCCTCTGATTGTTATGCAGCGTAATGCCTCAGTGCCCAACCTGCGTGGGTCTGAGGAGAGGCTCCTGGCTCTGAAGAAACCAGGTCTCCCAGCCCTGAGTCGCACGACAGAGCTGCAGGATGAGCTGAGCCACCTGCGCAGTCAGATTGCCAAGATCGTGGCAGCTGATGCAGGTAGGTGTTCTGAACCAGGTTCAGATTTTTTTGTTCATAAAATCACTGAATGGTAGTCAACTTGAGGGCAGTTAAACAGCAAGGAAAATGTTCTCTGGTTGCTCCCAGGCTGAGCTAGCCTCTGGTTTGTGGTGTCCCTTTCATGTTTTCTACCAGTCATTTTCAGCTGAATGGTTTAGAGTCAAATCTTTACTAACCTTGTGACCCTAAACAGACTTCTCTCTTGACCATAAAAACAGCATCCCTAAGTTCTCTCCTATTCAGTATAAGAAGTAAAATTTCTCTCCCTACCACTGAGGTATGTCCTCTTTAAACACCTCTTTTCTCTTCAGTCCTGTCTATCACTCTGTCTACATTTAGGGCAGAACCAGTGGACAGGGATGGGAATCTGCTTTAACCAGAAGTCAAGAGAAAACCGAACTCAAACTCACTGCCCTTGAGTCATTTTTGACTCAGTAGTACTCCATTGGGTTTCCGAGGCTGTAAATCTTAGTGGCATATACTGCCTGTTTCTCTCAGCTAGTACATTTGAACTGCTAGTGTTGTACAGCATTTGTTAACACAACATGCTGTAAAGTATGCCACCAGAACACCTTTCCCTATTTACTGTTCTTTTTATGTGCCATTGCTGACCCTCCTGCAGATTTTCAGAGGCTATAAATCACATGGGAAGAGACTTCCATCTTTCTCCCTCAGAGTAGCAGGTGGATAACCACCTGTCTTTGCTTTGGTAATGCACCTTTACCCGAGGCCGTTGGAGCACCTTTCCCCATTTACCATTAGCTCCTAAACCTTATCAGTTGGTATAGCCCATGTTCCTCATGTTCTCTGAAGTCTTTGTGTGTTTAATTCCCTCTTAGGGAAGTTTTATTATGGACTTACATTTTCATTTTCCACTTATATTTCTTGACTATTTTTTTAGTTTTGTTACCAAAGAGAGTAGCAGAAACAGCTTTTAAAATTCAAATCAGAAGCAAAAAAAAAAAAATCAGAAGCACTTAAAAATTGAGGAAATACCCTCCATTAAAATTTAGAGAACTGGGAGAACTGTCATTCTTTCTTTTCTTCTGCAGAAGAATCCTGCTAATAGCAGGTTTCCACTGTGATAATGGAGAAAAGAAAAATGTAGGCCTTTGTTCTGTCACTATTGCTTCAGTCTGACAGTGCAGGGAGAGGGTCTTTCTTCCTGAACACTGGAAGATCCTATGGCTGTTTACATCTTCTTGACACTGAGTGGCGAAGGAGGGCGGGATGGTCTAGTAGCTGCCAATCCCATCCTGGGAGCTCCCAGTATTTCATGGTGTCTGCCCAGGATGAGTGTTCAGTAGGCAATGCTGTAGGAAGAAGATACTGCTTTTGTATTCTGGCTCCAATATCCACCTCTACTTATTGTTTTCTTTTTCAGCTTCGGCTTCATTAACGCCAGATTTCTTATCTCCAGGAAGTTCAAATATCTCTTCTCCCTTACCTTGTTTTGGATCCTCATTCCACTCTACAACTTCCTTTGTCATTAGTGACATCACGGAGGAGACTGAGGTAGAAGTCCCTGAGCTTCCATCAGTCCCCCTGCTTTGTTCTGCCAGCCCTGAATGTTGCAAAACAGAAAACAAAGCCACGTGCAGCTCGTCTGAAGAGGATGACTGCATCTCTCTGTCCAAGGCCAGCAGCTTTGCAGACATGATGGGTATCCTGAAGGATTTTCACCGGATGAAACAGAGCCAAGATTTGTAAGTATTAGAGGAGAAGTTCAGTGTTTAACTGTTGAAGTTGCCTGTGGCCAGTACTATACTAAAATGTGAAAGCATTGTGCATAGTGCCTAATACATAGTGTGATCCTTCAGTAGGAACCATCTATTACTTCACAAAGCTTGTTGATTACCCTGCTGGCTAGTACCTGAGATCCTAACTTGGGGAAAGCTAACTTGAGCAGCAATTCACATTTGTTAGTTACTGATGATGTCACTCCATATAAATGTTAAGATTAGTTAGATTTTATGAGAAGGCTTATCTAAGATAACTTCCATCCCCTGAGTGCCTTAACCACCTCCGTTCTCATACTACAAACAACAGTGCCTTGACATCCCACCCTTCAAATGTGGAGTTGCATAGCATGTATTTTGGTATCACATTGGTGAAGGGACAATGAGTGTTTTCTAGGCATATAGATATATATTAGGTAATTTGAGCCTTTTATTGAAGCTAAAACCCCCAACTCAGCCTCCTTGATGGAGAGACAACTTAAGTCATTGCTGTTGAATCAAAATCAACTCATACTAGACCCTGAAAGATTTTTCTGAGGCATCAGAGAAGATGCCCACCTTGACCTGTGGAGCAGCTGGTAGCCTCCCTATGGACTATGTCACCAGAAGAGACAAAGTTGTATGAAATCTTCAGTATTCCTTTTCCCCACAACTTATGAGGGTCTGAATGGCCAGGAGTCAGCTTCCTCTGCGGACTGTCTAGAGAAATGCTGCTAAAAGGCCAGAGGGTGGGAGCAGAGATTTGGCTACCAGAAGCCGACTGGGATGTGGTGGTCTTCTCTTTTGCCCACACTTTATAGTCAAGTACAGGATTTGGCAAGGGTCTCATAACAAAAGTTTACAGAATCCTACAGACCTCCACAATAAAAAGACTAATAACCCATTACAAAATGTGCAAAAGACATGGAAAGAGATTTCACAGAGGAGGACATTCAGATAGCCAGCAGACACATGGAGAAAGCTCAAAATCTCTGGCAATAAGAGAGATGCAAATCAAAATCACAATGAGATACCATCTCAGCCCAAAGCAGAGGCAAAGTTTAATAGGACAGCAAGCAATAATGCTGGAGAGGATGTAGAGAGATAGAACTCTTATACACTGTTAGTGGAATTGTAAAATGCTACAACTACTCTGGAAGGCAGTTTGAAGTTTCCTTAAAAAGCTGAACATAGAAATTCCTATGAACCAGCTGTTCTACTGTTTGGAATATTCCCTGCGAAAGTTAGGACTGGGAGACAAACAGAGATTTGTACACCAAATTTCACAGCAGCATTATTCACCATCACAAGAACGTGGAAACAGCCCAAATAACAACCACAATTGAATGGATTGAGAAATTGTGGTACATTTTCACAGTAGAAGACTATGCAGCACTCAGGAGCAATGATTTTGAAAATTAATGCCTAACTTGGGAGGGACTGGAGAGTGTTATGCTGAGTGAACTCAGTCCCATAAATACTGTACATAAGACATTATTGTGGAAATAGAAAGATAAATAGTAAAGCATGTATAAGGAGCCAAGTAGGGGAGGGGAGTAACAGAGGGGTAAGGATGACCAGGGGGAAAATCATTGTTGTGGGTGCCATCGAGTCAAGTATGACTCACCCTATGAACAAAAGCTCTGAATCTTGTCCTACACTGTGCCATCCTCATACTCCCTGACACACTAGATCCCATTGCATAGTCACTGTCAGTCCACCTGGTCAAAGGTCTTCCTGTCCTTTGCTGACCTTCCACCTTTCCAAGTATCATGTCTCTCTCCAAGAAATAGTCCCTCCTAGCAACATGCCCCAAGTATGTGAACCAAAGCCTCATCATCCCTGCTTCCAAAGAGCACTCTGGCTGCACACTCTCCAAGACATATTTGTTCTTCTGGCTGTCCATGTTGTTCTTCAGCACCCCAGCTCAAAGGCATCAGTTCTTCTGTCATCCTTATTCCTCTGAGATGCATAGCAAGTGACCGGAAAGACTATGGCATCAATCAGATGCACCTTAGTCCTCAAACTGATATCATTATTCCTCAATAATTTGGAGCCGTCCCTAACTGCAAATTTTCTCAGTGCAGTGTGTCTCCTATTTCCTGACTGCTAGTACCAAGGGTGTTAATTGTGGATTCAAGCAAGATGAAGTTATTGACAGTTTTCTATCTCTTCTCCATCCATCATGATATTGCCTAATTGGTCCAGTGGTAAGAATCTTTGTTTTCTTCACATTGAGATGCAGTCCATATTGAGGGCTGCATTCCTTGATCTTCTGGACAGGTTTCTTCAAGTCCTCCTCATTTTGAGCCAGCGAGATTGTGCCATCTGCATAATCAAATTTATTGATGAGTCTCCCTCCGATCCTGATGCCACATTTCTCTTCAGAGTCCAGCCTCTCAAATAATTTGTTCAGCATCAAGATTGAATAGGGATGGAGAGAGAATACAACCCTGACACATTCCCTTCTTAAATGTAAACCATGCTCTATTCGCATAACAGCCTCCTGTTGAGGTATAGGTTCCACATGAGCACAGTTAAGTGCTCTGGGATTCCCTTTTTTTTTTTTTTAAGATTTTAATCAAAGTTTATAGAGAACTTGGATTTCCATTCATTCATTATTGCACATTTTCCTCCCTGTCTACCTCATCCACAGTTCGCTTTTCTCTCGGGGTGGGGGGAGGCTTTCATTATACTATTCTTCACCCCCACCCAGTCTATTTTACTATGCAGCTCTTATTCTGGACTGTTGTCATGCAAATAATACCTAATAATATATTCCTTTCAAGCAGTTCTATTCCTCATCTGTTTCAATGCAGTGTACATTATGTATCCCCTCTTTTCTTAGTTTCCCTCATCCCCGTGTCAGTCCTGTTTTATAATAGAGGCATTATGCAGTATTTGTCCTTTTCTGATGGGATTCCCATTCTTAATGTCAGCCACAACTTGTTATAATCCACACAGTCAAATGCCTTTGCATAGTCAATAATGCATAGACAGACATCCTTCTAGTATTCTTTACTTTCAGCCAGGATCAGTTAGATACCAGCAGTGATAGCCCTGGTGCCATGGCCTCTTCTAAATCCTGCTTGAACTTCTGGCAGTCCCTAACTATATACTGTTCTAGCCATTTTTGAATAATCTTCACTCATATTTTGCTTGTATGGGGGTATTCAGAGGGTTACACAATTTAATGGATGGAGAGAGGGGTGAGTAAAGGAAAATGGGGAAGAGCCAATGGGGTTCTGAAAAGACAGGGCAGTGGTGGGCATACTTCAGTGTTGATTGATTTTATAAAACAATGCAATGGAATGACTGTGTGAAACACAGTGTGAATGAAGGGTAGTGTGAAACACAGTGTATATGAACTTTGTAAGCAAACTAATATAAAATTAAAATTTTTTAAAAAAGAGAACAGGATTTGGAACCAGGCCTTAATTTAGCAATTTAAATATTGTGCTGATAACTGAAAGGTCAGCAGTTTGAACCCAGTAGGTCCTCAGGAGGAAGGTGAGGCAGTCTCTCCTCTTAGGAAGATTTATAGCCTCAGAAACCTAATGACAGTCAATTCCGTAAGGTGGAATCAGCTTGACAGCAGTGAGTTTGGATTTTTGCTGTTACCTTACCACCACATAATGGTAGTGATTTTCCTTATCTATGTAAAGAGATTATAGTAACACATAATTATCATAGGATTGTTAAAAGTATAGTTTTTAAGAATACTTTCTGGGGATAAGTACTCATTAAACATAAGCCATTATTTGATTTCCAGGAACCGGAGTTTATTGAAGGAGGAAGACCCTGCCGTCCTTATCTCTGAGGTCCTGAGGAGGAAGTTTGCCCTGAAGGAAGAAGACGTCACTAGAAAAGGACACTGATAGCATCCAGCTCTGTGAACTCAGTCTCATGCTCCTGGAATCCCTTCAGTAGCTGCCTTCCTCACTGCAGATGTTTCTGCCTCTCAGAAATCTTCTGGAACAGTATTGCCAACAAGCTAGAGCATGGACTGAGAAAACAGGAGTTGGGTTGTTTCCTACACTTCAAACCTTAGCAGAAGCTAAGGTCTTATTTTGAGCTGAGATATTTATTACAGGTAATTATTTAGGTTGGAGTGTCTCAGTTTAAAGGGTGAAATAGAAGTTTATGGTTTTTCCTTGCCCTTGTGTGAAAATAGGTCCTGAATGACTGACTTGATTGCATTAGACCCCATTGCTGGTGTCATGGACATTTTGTGCTCCACTGCTTCCTTGCAGCCCAGCAAGGCTCAGGGGAGGAGGCTATGTACATGTCCATAGGGCAGGGAAGATCTTATGCTGCTCCATCATTACCTTATACCAATGCCCAGCAATCACCTTCACCGCTGCCCTGCCCAACACTAGATACTGGGGTCAGGCTTCCAGGCCAGCTGACACTGTGCTGCTGCTGGGAGCCCTAAGCTGTTTTTTCTTACACATATTTTGTAATAACTGTACAACCAAATCTATCCTCCAAGACCTGGGGGCCTCATCAGTTCCATTGATGGAAAACATTTTCTCTTCTGGACTTTCATGTAAGCCCAAAAGGAAAGAGAAATGGGGAGGGGAAAGAGTGCCCACCCTTCTTCTAGGCCATGACTGCTCCTTTGGGCTGCACCAGTTTGTACGGTTTGTACCTATCACATCGCTGCATGACTCACACAACCTCAGGCCCCTTTCTCTGCAATATGTATATTCTATGTGTTTGGGTTGACATTAAAGGAAGGATTTGGAAAGATACTATATTTGCCTTATCCATCTCTGACCTACAATCAGTCTCTTTCAGGGGTATAAACTAATTAGCTCATTGCCATGGAGTCAGAGCCGACTGGTTTCTGAGGCCGTAAACTGCATGGGAGGAGACTGCCCATCTTTGTCCAGGGGAGCTACATGCTGGTAGATTTGAACCACTTGTCTCTGGGTTGGCAGCCCAACTGCTAGGATACAGGGCCACCTGCTAGGCCACCTGAGCTCCCTATGCTGAAGGGTTTAAGATGCCTATATATGCTAAGGTCAATGAATTTCCTTGAACAGGCTCTTTGGCTTCCCCTTTTGTAAGGTCTTGTTCCTCTGCAGACTTCCCTAGTTAATTTCTTCTCCCTTTCAGTAGCAACTGTGCTCTACACTCTAAAAAGCAGTTCCATTTTATAACATGCAAGCTTACTCTATTGAAACTGTTCAAGGTTTTTAGCTATCACACCTGCATTATGGAAAACTGCCACCTGGTGGACAATGCCTTGTGTCAAATTGGGCTCATGTTTCTATCTAACCTATGGTGATGACAGGACATAAGTACACTATAGAAAAAGCCACCTGTTCAAAATAAAATGTTTCAAAATAAAATGTTTTAATTGCCATCATCTAGGTTTAAGTTTTACAAAGAGGATTTTCTTCCCTTGTGAAAGTATACATCTAGATTAGTATGTAACTGAAGTTTTTATTTTGGGGAGTGAAGGTAAGGAGTTGATATTTAGATACTGAGTAAATAATAATAAAAAAATAACACTCTCCCCATCCTACCAATCTGTCCCCACCTACATCAGGAAGATTTGCCTTATTACTCAAAAGTATCAAAAATAATGACCCTGTATATAATTATAGTGAGTAAGGGAACACATCCATCAAGCAGGGTCCCAATCAAGTTTCTGGAAGGTCAAGCTCTATATACTCATAGACTTGCTCAAGGCATTTACCAGCCACCTTCTTCCTCAGGGCACATGCCAATCACACAGTCTCATCTTGTGACATCAATTGCTTTATTTACACCACGAAAATGCTCAGTAATAACAGTTTCATCCTGTGCCTCCCTGCCACCCAAACACCAGTCCACCCTAAGCTTCCTCCAACTATATGATGTGCATTTCTGCCATTTCAAGATACTTTTAGCTAATAAAGGCAATCAGAATTGATGTCTGATAACTTGATTACCTTCAGAGTCCTGGGTAAAGAGCAAACCAGAGTGGAGATTGAACTGAGTGTCCCCATCCTGGCACTGAGACCGAGTGCGAGGGCTGTGAGGAGACTGCTCTAAGTCTAGATTCCAGTTATTGGTTACATCTCGGAAAGGAGCTCTTGAACTGTGGGCAATGACTCGTTGGCCCTGAGAATCCTCAGTGAAGAGCTGACTCCAGGAATCCTTGTCTTTCTGTCTTTCACTGTCCCAGGGAAACAAAGGAACAGGACAAGGGCCTTTCTTCACTGACATTGTGCTTTCTTCACTCCAGGAATCCCTGAAAGTGTGAAAGAAAGAGGGCTGCCTATTTTCTTTGGCAACTTCCTGCCTTTCCAGTTTAGTTTTGTCCAAGGACTGATGGCATTTCCCCTCAGGCAGGTTTAATACATCCCGACAGTTCTTAGGTCTGTGGATCCTCTCCCTAGCTCCAGAAGATGCTCTTTCCCTCTCCCTTTGGTCTAGCAAACAAGAACTCTTCAAATCCTGGGTGAAAGAAAAAGCCAATGAGCCTTTATCCTCCTCAGCTGACACCGGGATGTCAGGAAAAGTTAGCACAGTCAAATATGGAGTTTCCATTCTGTTGTGTCCAGAAGACTCCTGGAGGGACTGTGGAGAAAGTTCAGCATCGGGGATGTCTGCGGGGGTCGAAGTGAATAAAGGGGAAGCCACAGAGTCTTCCCGCAAGTCCTGGAGAAAATGCTTTAGCTGGGCTGCATCTTCCTTAGACTCTTTGGAGGTCTGACTTTCTCTCTGAGCTGAGACATGTGTTTCATTGCCACCTCTGGCCCTTCCTGATAAAAGTCAACAATTAGTATACAAGAAAATTCAGTATCAATTACTACTGTCAATATCTTGTTTAGACTCTTTAAATAACTTCCTAGTTGATCTTACTATACTCACCTAATTTCTTCCTCAAGTAATTTGATACTTGCCATGACTATTTGATCAAGTCATACATGGAATACAATCACACTACAGCCTGCTTTTCCAGTGAAATTTCCATATGTGGGGTTTATTTAACATAGGGCACCATTAGTTTCATTTTTTCCCTTTTTATAGGACTTCAGCTAAATACCATGTCTGATGGTCCAGTGGCTAAGGAGTTCCACTGCCATTCCAAAGGCAGACAGTCTGAATCTACCAGCTGCTCTGCAGGAAAAAGACAATCTTTCTTGTTATTGTGAACCATATAGTCGGAACCGACCCATAGTTGACACTCTGGCAGGTTTTCAGAGGCAGTTAAGCACACAGGAGGAGACTGCCCATCCTTCTCCCATGGAGCAGCTGATGATCACAAACCATGTGACTTCGAGACTGCAGTACAGCTTCTTGCCAGAAATGGATGACACTCCTGCTTCCAAGCCTGTTTTAATCTGGGAGCTCCACCAAACACTGTCCACCATGGGTAACCACTATCACATCTGACACATCAGTGTCACAGTGTTGGTCCTGGCTAAATATATATCCCTGGATAATGTCCCTTGAGTATTTTCAATATGTTGTTGTTATGTGCTGTCGAGTTGACTATGACTCATAGCAACCCTATGAATAGCAGCTCCAAATCCTGCCCTATTTTGAGCCATTCTCACTATCTCTGACACACCTGACACACCTGACCCCATTGCTACCGTCTCTCTGTCACTCTTATCTAGGGTCTTCCTCTCCTTTGCTAACCAACCCTCAACTCTTCCCTTCTCCAAGGACCTGTCCCTCTGGACAACATGCCCAGGGTATGTGAGACAGAGATTAAAAATCCTTGCCTCCATGGAGCAAACTGGTTTTCCCCTCTCTAGGACAGACCTGTTTGTTCTCTCACCAGACCATGGGATGCTCCATACTTTTCTCTAGCACCACAACTCAAAGACTTCAACTCTTTGTCTGTCATCCTTATTCAATGGCCAGCTCTCAGATATATATAGCAAGCAATTAAGAAGACCATGGCCTGGACAAGACACACTTTAGTCTCTAGACTGATATCGTTGCTCTTTAGCACTCTGGAGAGGCCCCTAACAGCAGGCTTTCCTAACGCAACTTGTCTTTTGATTTCCCAGGAAATTAAAAGATGTATTGCGATGGGAAAGTCTGCTGTTTGGGACCTCTCCAAAGTACTGAAGAGCAGTGGTGTGTCTCTGGAGACTAAGGTGTGCCTGATATAGGCCATGGTCTTTGCAATCACTTGTTATGCATCAGAGAACTGGACAATGCCTAGGGAGGATAGAAGGAGAATTGATGCCTTTGAGCTGTGGTGCTGGAGAAGAGTATTGAGGGTATCATGGACTGCTAAGAAAAACAGATTCATCCTGGAGAGGGTTAAACCGGGATGCTCCTTGGAGGCAAGGATTCTGAGGCTCTGTCTAACATACTTTGGACATGTTGTAAGGAGGGACCGGTCCTTGGAGAGGGACATCATGCTTGGTAGGGTGGAGGGACAGCGCAGGAGGGGAAGGCCCTCCATGAGGTGGATTGATTCAGTGACTGGGGTAATTGGGATGGGAGTGTCAGAGACAGTACGATTTGCACAGGACAGAGCACAGTTTAGGGCTGTTGTACATAGGGTTGCTATGATTGACAAGCGACTCAACAGCACATAACAACAAAAACAGTGCCAAGAGTGTTGATTGTGGATGCTCAATATATAGACTATTATACTGATTAACTCTCAGAAACCTCCCAGTGATAGATCATATGTTGCCCACATTCTAAATATTACATGGGGGGGGAAAGTGAAGACAAAATAAGGATGCTAAATAAGTCAGTGAGAAGGGCAATAATAAAAAGCAGCTATTCGTGTCCAATTTGTCTATTTTATGAGGTGTTGACTGGACTCCGTCTGCATTCATTTCAAAATTCTGATAGTTCTTTTTCATAGATTCATGAGCTGAATGATTGGTTTCCTCTTTCCTTCTCTAATAATTACAATGCAGAAACTTTATGAAAGGGTTCTCAACTTTACCTAAGGATTCAGTAAAATGGAATTTTAAGAGCATTTTGAAAAACTGACTTTGATATTAAAAAATATTTGTTTGAGGGAAAAAGGGTATATTTTAAAGTTTAGGCAGAGCAATTCCAGAATCACACCAAGAGCTAAAGCTCCACACTGCCTCAAAATGGGAAGAATCCTGTGAAAGTTGCCTGTTCTGAGGCAGGTGCTTCTCTGAAAAGGGGCATGCAAGCAAAAGAGTGCCAAAGCCAACTTTACATGGGCCCTTTTTAAGAAATCTGCATCCTTTCTTCTTCCTTTCCGTGGGGCAGCAGCCATCAGGGTGAGCCAAGATCGGCACCTACAAGTAAATCCAGGAGCTGTGGCGTAAGAAGCAGTCGGACATAATGTGCTTCCTCCTGCGGATGCGCCGCTGGCAGTACCGCCAGCTCGGCGCTGCACCAGGCCCCCGTGGCTGGACAAGGCGCGCAGGCTGGGCTACAAGGCCAAGCAAGGAGTTCCCCGGGGTGGCCACAAACGCCCAATCCCTAAGGGAGTCAACTACGGCAAGCCTGTCCACCACGGTGTGAACCAGCTGAAGTTCGCGCGGAGCCTCCAGTCCGTCGCTGAGGAGTGAGCTAGCCACCACTGCGGGGCCCCTAGGGTCCTGAATTCTTACTGGGTGGGTGAAGATTCCACGTATAAGTTCTTAAGAGGTTATCCTCATTGATCCATTCCATAAAGTGATCAGAAGAAATCCCGACACCCAATGGATCATAAAGCCTGTCCACAAACACCGGGAAATGCGCGGAATGACATGGGCCAGACGCAAGAGCTGCGGCCTGGGCAAAGGCCACAAGTTCCACCACACCATTGTGGGGCTCTCGCCGCGCTGCCTGGAGGAGATGCAACACCCTGTAGCTGCACCCGCTACCGCTGAGAGCGCGGTTTGTAAAGCGTGTCCCTAATAAACCATTGAGGACAGCAAAGCATCTACTCCACGTGTTCTTTGTCCATCAGTAGTTGCAGATTGTTTCAAGAACGCATTATCAAACCATGACATTAAACATGCAATAATGTTTGAAGACAAAAAAATAAAAGAAATCTGCATCCTTAAAACTTCACTAATCACACCCGTGTTTATCGCAGCTCTGTTCACAATAGCAAGGAGTTGGAAACAACCCAGGTGCCCATCAACAAACGAATGGCTAGAGAAGCTGTGGTATACTCACACAATGGAATACTATGCTGCATTGAAAAACAAGGAACTCATGCAATATTATTCAAAATGGGTGAGCCTGGAGGACATTATGCTGAGTGAAATATCTCAGTCGTAAAAGGACAAATATTGCACGGTGCCACTGCTGTAAAATGGGACTGATATCAGGGTGGGGGTAAGACTGAGAAAAACTGGATAAATTGTGTATACTGCACTGAAACAGATGAGGGACTGAATAATTTAAAAGCGATGTATGATAGGGTCTTATGGTTATCACAAGAGTCCACAATTAAGGTTGCATAGTGGAATGTACTTGGGGCGGTGGGAGGGGTGCGGGAGGATTGTATACCAGGGAGGGAGTCTTTCTTTTACTTTTGAAAGAGAGGAGCGAACTGGGGAGAGGGCTGGGCGGGTAGAGAAGTGCAGCAATGAATGGATGGAAATCCAAATTCTCTATAAATGTTCATTAAAATTATTAAAAAAAAGAAAATAAAAAAATTAAAAAAAAACCTTCACTAATGTGAGAAATTTCAAAGAAAATGTCAATTCTCAATTAGCTTTATGAAGACTACTCATTGTGACCAATCCTGAGAAGGTGATGTCAACATCCCAAGTACACTTGTTCTCATTCTTCTGTTGGCAAATATGAAACTTTATATCAGACTAAGCAGAACAGATGCAGAAGGTATGTTTATAAAAGTATTTTTTTTTACTTTAAAAGCAATTTTTAAGAGGGAGTGTTCTCTCTTTATTTTTATCTGCCCTTCCAATGGGTCAGTAAAGTGGTTATTACCACTTTCCCCACATGTTCCAATGTTGGAAAATGCACTCTTTTTTTGCTACTTGAATGATGAAGTATTCCCAGGCAGGTCACTTTACCTGGCTGCAAAGTGAAGAAGGAAGCAACGCTAGTCTGTCGAATGCCTGCAGGTGGAGCACTTCTTGGCGTAAAAAAGCTCTTCGTCTTTCTCTCTCTTGGAAAGAGTGTTAACATTTCAGTGCCTGGTTTGATCAGAAGTGTCTGATAAGGGGAGAAAAAGAAAGAGCAGAACCTATTAGTACCAAAACAGCAGTAAGATGGATTCAATAAACACCCGTGACCCTCTTGGCACAGCTCATGTACATCATCTGGTACTGTGGCCTGGATAGCACAGCACCATTTGCTGCCATAGAACTGGATGGTGCTTGTTTTTAACAGGAATCACATATTCCAACCAGAGCTCTATCTCTGTTGTTCCCCCCATGGAAGTGAGTCAAACTTCAAGCAGAATTTGTGATAAGAATTCCAGCTCTCTCCATGATATTTAAAGTTAATTAATTATTCTAGATAAGTAGCAATTGATACATTTTGTACCATTTAAAATAGTCAACAATGGTTAAGCAAGGAAGCTCTGGTGGCCTAGTGGCAAAAAGCTGCGCTGCGATCCTGAAGGTACGCAGTTCGAATCCATGCGTGGTTCCATGGAAGAAGGATGGGCAATCTCCTCTCATGTGATTAACTGCCTCTGAAAACCTGCTGGAGGGTCAGCTATCAGTAAGTTCTGACTCAATGATACACAACACAACACACATACATACACAGAGAGTTAAGCAAATCAATTCCAATTCTGCCATTGTGACCTGCAAATTATTTAATCTCGTTGTGTCTCATTCTCATGTGTACAATGGGACAAATGTACCTATTCCACAGTTAGCAATAATTATTTCAATAAGATGAATGAGGATAATGTCAATATTAAACAGCCAGTTTCATCACATTTTCATCTCATATCCCTTTATATTTACCATGTGGAACTGGAAAATGAGTGGGGGAAATGGACTTTTCCTCAGAACTGTCCGAGACAGGTAGCCTTCCCCAATAGTAGTATCTGGTATTTGGATGTAAGAGACTCCTAAATTCAAGAGATACTGGCCACAGCATAAGAAACTGGCAGAAGCTTGAGGTGTTCAGAATCACAGAGGCCCAGAAAGCTTGAGATATAAGCCATCACATCAAGGGCTGGATAGGGGGAGACAGGTGTTGAATGGAGTAGGTGGGAGTAGAAGGGAATGCTGGTGGAGCAGGGAAAGGGGTGGGTCAAGACACATGTGTCAAGAGAGGACACAACACTGAATTTATTGGTTATTTCTATAATTGGGGAAACATCTTTCATTAGCTCTTTTCTGTAAAATGCTTGTCTGTCAGATACTGTTCTAGATCTAAGCATTCAAATTAAGACAGACTAAGAAGGATTGGCCATCCATTTCCTAAATAGCAGGCCATAGAAAACCCTATATAAAACCCTATATACAAGAGAGCACACTTAGACTAGCAGATAGGGCAACTGAGGCTGAGCTCTCATTTGTATGGAAACAGAAAAGAAGAGGAAGAGTTGTAAGGAGACACTAGTGATTGGAACATGTAATGTGAGAACCATGAATGTAGGAAAATTGGATATCGTTAAGGAAGAAATGAAATGCATAAATAACAACATATTAGATACTGACAAAATAAGATGGGACTGACATTTTGAGTCAGATAATCATATAATCTACTATACTGGAGATGAAATTGTGAGGGAAAATGGAGTTGCTTTCATAGTGAAAAATGTCATTTCTAGATCTACCTTGAAATATAATGTTGTAACAGGTAGTAGGTAGCTAACTATATGTTGTTTCGGTGCTGTCAAGTACAACCCTATAAACAACAGATCTGAACCCTGTCCCATCCTGTGCTACCTCACACTTTCTGACACACTCAAGCCCATTATAGCTGTGTCAATCCATCTGGTTGAGGATTCAATACTCTCCAACACCACAATTCAAAGGCTTCAATTCTTCTTCTGTTATCCTCATTCACTGTTCAATATAGATTGCATCTCAACATTTAATTTACAAGTATACAAAGTTCTGCAAGGATGATTTATAAAAAGTTACAAATTAGTAGAAAACAAAAAGATCTCAATTAGCAAAAGATCTAGCTTGTTGCTGGGTGCTATAAAGTCGAGTATGACCCATAGCAACCTTATGAACAACAGATTTGAACCCAGTCCTATCCTGTGACATTCTCATACTTTGTGACACAACTGAGCTGACTGTAGCAGTCATTGTGTTAATTCAGCTGGGGGAGGGTCTTCCTCTCTTTCCTTGACCGTTTCTCTATGTTTCCAAGCATGATGTACTTCTCCAATGAATAGCTTGTCCTAGCAACATGCCAGATGTGAGACAAAGCTTTATCCTCTGTGCCTCCAAGAGATACTCTGGCTGCACTTTCTCTGAGATATATATGTTCTTTTGGCAGTTCATGAGATAATCCGTACTCTTCTCCAACACCATAGCATAAAGGCATCAATTCTTAGTTTCAGTCTTCCATATTCATTGTCCAGCTTTCAGATACACAGCTACTAGTGGTTGAAAAGACCATACCCTAAATCAGGCACACCTTTGTTCTCAAACAGACATCATGGCTCCTCAATAATTTGTAAAGGTTTCTGACTGCAGACTTTCCCAGAGCAATCTCCTGATTTGACTGCAGGTACCAAGGGTGTTAATTGTGGATCCAAGTAAGAAGAATTTGTGGACAACTTCAATCTTTTCTCCACCTATCATGACGTTGCCTCTTGGTTGAATGGTAAGAATTTTTGTTTTTTCTCCACTTAGAGATGCAATCTATACCTAAGACTACTTTCTTTGACCTTCTGCAGCAAGTGCTTCAAGTCCTCATTTTCAAGTAAGGTGGTATTGTCTGAATAACGCAGTTTATTGAGTTTTCCTCCAATCTTGATGCCACATCCCTCTTCATAGAGTCCAGATTCTCAAATAATTTGCTCAGAATACAGACTGAATAGGTATGGAGAGAGCATACAGCCCTAATGCACACCTTTCTTAATTTTAACCATGTAGTACTCCCTTGTTCCATTTGCACAACACTCTTTTGGCCCAGGTATAGGTTTCCCATAAGCACAATATGTTAGCCATAATTTGTTATGATCCACAGTCAAATAAATGCCTTTGCATAATCAATAAAACATAAATAGATATTTTTCTAGTATTCTTTACTTTCAGCCAATATTCATCTGACATCAGTAATGATATATGGCCTCCTCTAAATTCTGCTTAAACTTCAGGTAGTTCCCTATTTATGTACTGTTCTAGTCATTTTTAAATTATCTCCAGTGGTATTTTGCTTGCATGAGATATTAATGATATTGTTTGATAATTTCCATGTTATATTGGATCACATTTCTTGGGAACTGGAGCAGATGTGAATCTCTTCCAATCAGCTGGCCAGACAGCTTTCCTCCAAATTTCCTTGCATAGACTGGAGCACATCTAGGGCTTCATTTGTTAGCTGAAATGTGTCAACTGGTATCCTTGATTGCTCGGTCCTTATTTTTTGCCAATGTCTTAATGGAGTTGAACTTCCTCCTTCATTACCAATGGCTCCTACCCATATGGTGCTTCCTGAAATTTTTTGGCACCAGTTCTTTTTGGTACAGTGACTCTGTGTATTCCCTCCATCTTATTTTGATGCTTTCTAGAACATTCAATATATTATTGCCCATAGCATTTTTCAATATTGTGTCTCAACGCTTCAATTTGTTTTTCAGTTCTCTTAGCTTGAGAAATGCCAAATGAATTCTTCCCTTTTTATGTTTTACTCTTTCAATAAAACTTGTTTCATTTTAGTAGAGCAAGAGTCTGGTGTTACACTTTCACAAGTGGAAATCTAAAAAGTCAAAGGAGTAAGTAGCAGAAAGGGTGAAAGCAGCTTGCAAAAATTTTAGGAAATAGCTAACATGAAGGGGGAAATGAAGTCAAAACACTGTGGTCATAAAAGAGATATCTGTTGTTACTTGCCTCAGGAGAAGATTCTGACTCAGAGTAACCCTTTGTATGCAAAACAGGCGTGTTCTATGGTTTTGGAAGCAGATCACCAAGCCTGTCTTCAGAGGTACTCCTGGTCTGGTTGGAAACTCTAATTTTAAGACTAGCTAAGCAGTTTTTGCCAGAGTTCCTGGTATTGTTAGGTGCCATTAAGTCAGTTCTAATGAGGGACTCCATTTTGTAACCAATATGTCATTTTAAAATATATATGTGCCTCTAGAGCAGTAAACTGAAAGCGGTGGGGAAAGGGAGAAAAGAGCCCCCACCTAAACATCAGCCAATCCTGTATCACCCTGTTTTCACGCCCTTCCTTTGAACCAGCCAATCCTGTATCACCCTGTTTTCACGCCCTTCCTTTGAACCAGCCAATCCTGTATCACCCTGTTTTCGCGGGCTTTCCCCTTTAAATAGGCAGGACAGCCCAGAATCGCGGCCGCGGCCATCTTCCCTGTTGTATGGGCATGGTTTGGAACGCGGCCCGGATTAGAATCTGAAATAAATTCCCTCTTGCCCTTGCATCGGTGTCAGCTCCTTGGTGACTTGGGGGGAACTGGATTTGGGGCATAACATCTGGGGGCTCATCCGGGATCCCCCCACGACCCCAAGGACCCCTAACCGGAGGGACGAACTGCTGGCCAGACGGGTGAGTGTGTCTATCTGTGTTTTCATTCTGTACCAAACTGTTCGTGTTGTTTTCTGAATTCGGAGCAGTGAAATGTGGCTAAGGCGGACGCGCTGGGGGGCCACCACTGCGGGGGGCTCGGGAGACGTTCTGAGCCCTATATCTGAGTGCTTGGGTGAGAGTAAAGAACCTCATGCCAGGCTTCTGTACGAAGAGGCGGTTGAGGTTTTTCCAAGACACCGCTCTTCACCGGTTTCAGCTTTCAAGCCTTGCTTATAGAGGAAGGCTGGAAGACTTGTCTGTTTTGCT